AGTTGTCAGTACATCCCTATGGGAGGCGTCATACGGATGTGCATGCCCGTGTGAATTAATTCATTTTTTACAGTTTGGTTTAAGCTGAACTCCAGCCTTACCTTCAGTCATACAGTCCACCTATAGTCGTACCGGATCCTCTTCCACACTGAAATTGCTTACTTATTGTATCACTACACACTGTAAGCTTCCCACAAAGAGAACTAGAGCTTGAAGCAAGTCTGGTAGAGTCTGCCTCATTTTCTGGCTGGAGGAAATCTAGCATCATCTAGCTCTTTACTACCCAGTCTAATTGTCTTCTGCCCACCCTTTTCATTCATTAGATTTTGGCTCAATAATGGTAGATCAGTAACATGCATGTGTTGCATGCAAACACCCACTCCTCAAAACTGACCCCCACCCATCAAGGTATTTTGCTATTTGCATAACTCCCCCCAAGAGCCAACAGACTGCTTTTCAGGGCTGAGGGCTCTTGAGGAGTACTGAGGTAGTGTGCTGTGATATTTTGAGGAAGCTATATAAAAGCACCCTGCTGGCCGCTTCCACTAGCTATGATCTGACTGCATTGCACAGAGCTCAGTGGTGGCATGACTGAGCCTAAAATATGATATGTTATCTATAATAAGATACGGAAATGGAAAGATTTGATTTAAAACATTAATTAGCATGTTGATAAGGGGCAAAGGAGAAACCAGGGAAGGCAACACAAGTAGATTAAACTTCAAGTAGTGTACCGGCTGTGGAGATTCACACATTTCCATATTCTTACCAAGCAGTAAATTAACTTTATAACAAGTCCTCACTGACATCTGTAGTTGGACACAAAATGAATTCTCAGAGATCAGAGCAGAAGCAATAAAGTTGTCCAAGTCATTCTCTCTGCAGCTCAGCTATAGCTACAGAGGTCAATAAGGGCTTGCTTTAACGCTCATTTAAAACTTGTTAAATATCTACCTTTGTTTGATAGACGTATTCAAGAATTAGAACTGTGGGGGGACCTCCCTCTATCACTTTTCCGGGGAATTTACATAAAATTACTTTTTCTCTAAATTACTATATCATGTATAAGCATTACTTTTGCTCTTGAAACAATGTTGACCGTCTCACGCAGGCTATGATTCGCTTTATCTGGGAGGTCTAAATGACCTAGGATATCGATTAAAAAACTGGCTCCCGAAGGGCGACGGTAGGGCGACCTTTCCTAACATACTACATTTATATGATCTAGCCTCTTTATTGAGGCATGTATTAGACTGGACTTCGGATAGCTCAATGTTTTCCAATACTTCCCTAGAGACAGCAATGATAGCTCCTTGGGATATCAAATCTATTCTCCAATGCAAACTCTCATTACTCCCCTCTTTTAAAATCCAACTCTCTCTATAAAGATACTATTATAGCCTGGAGGGAAATTCGAAAGGTACTTAAACTTTCACCATTCATTTCACCCTATTGCCCTTTGGTACATAATCCCATGTTTCCTCAGGGCTTGGACATCCACGACAATGACTCAGGACCAATCAAAATTGTCTAGCTGCCCGAAATGTTTACTTACACGTCCCTCATTATACCATTGTTTATGGACATTCCCATCTATTTCAGGCTTTGGGGCCCAGGTGGCTTTCCTATTCTTACTTGGTCGCCGCCTCTAGATCTGGTTCTGTATTTATTTAGCTATTTAGCCCCTAACAGGCCTGGGATTAATCGCTCCTCTTTTAGAGGGGTAGATTGGATGCACATTTGTCCCCTTACAGCTAGGAGATGTATTATGCAATTATGGATCTCTCCCTACCCCCCCACGATTCAGGATGTGAAAATGTTACTATGCAAAGAGAAATTGGATGCCATATTTCACAGAGATACACACACTAAATTCATTTTTTTGTAGATGGAAGGATTTCATTGTAAAAATGTATACTCATTTAGAAACTTTCAACTCACAGATGGTATTTGGAGAAGAAGGTGTTAAATAGATTGGGGGCTTTAGAAATTGACTAATTGATATGGTTTAGAGCAGCTCCGAGCATATTCAGCCAGCCAAATACGTGCAGACAACCGCTCCTGTGTGAATGGAGCCTACATTTTTCTTACTGGCTCCTTCAAGTTTCTGATCGAAGGTTGTCAGATGAAGGAGTGCGATTGTGGCCACTTCAAGAACTGGCTGAAATTGGTCAGCTTTACTCCTGCAGCTAGCAATTCTGTAACTGTCTTAAATGCAGCAAAAACTAAATTGTCTAGCAACTGAGCTACATATAAAAACACAGTTCTGCTACATTACTCTCCACTGACTATAATCATTTCTGCCTAGTAACAAAAATGCTATAGCAATTATTTACATCAAGCTTTTTGAAGAAAAGTTGTATCAGACACATGGAGGAGACTAACAAAATGTCTTAAACACACTGCTTGTTATCCATCATACGTATTACAATTTAGATCTTATTCAGCAGAACATTTTTGAGGTTAAATTGCATGAAAAATCTTTACTACAGGACAACATTTGGTGAATCTCCACAGAGTGAATTCTTGCTATTCATTATTTGAATTGAATCTCTACAGAGTGAACTCTTGGTATTTGTTATTTGAATTGAATCTCTACAGAGTAAATTCTTGGTATTAGTTAGTTGAATTGAATCTCTGCAAAGTGAATGCTTGGTTTTCATCATTTGATTTAAAATAAAAAAGTTAAATAAAGCTCTCCAGTGGGGCTACCCTCGCACTGCAAAGGTTAAGTGCACGTTTTTGTCTAAGGACTAAAATAAGAAAAGTTATACTCACTTGAACTTTGCAGCTGTCACAGCGATCCCTCTAGCCTCTCTGCCGCAGTGCTCAGCAACCTCACGTCCTATACACAGTCCTATAATGGACGTGATGACTCGAGGATCCTTAGATCACTGCCGCAGAGGGGGAGCGAGGCTGAAAGGACTGGTCTAAGAGCAAGCCGGTGAGTATAACTTTTTTTATTTTAGTTCCTAGACAAAAACAAGCCTTTAAAAAGGAGAACTATGAGGTGAGTGATTTTCTGTCACACGTCGGCTCAATAGATCGGGAAGTGAGCAAACACATACCGTCGCTCGCTCATTCTCGATCCTGTCCCTGCAGAGAGCCGTGACTGTCACTCATGGCCCCCTGCAGGGATTCTCCCCCTCCCTGCTCCGATCCTCCAGTGCCGACTGTTCTCCTTTAATCTTTGCAGTGCATAGGATAGCCCCACTGCAAGGGTTAATCCTTTTTTCCCCCCAGAGTTGCTCTTTAAAATGTGATTTTGCATATAAGCAATTTACTAGTTTGCTTGCAACGCAGATTGTTTGGAAAATTCTTACAGCACAATAATGTGATCACATTGTGTTGACACCATACAGCTGATATTCTTTCATTGCACTGATTTTACAAAATAAATGTTCAGATTTTGTAGTTTACTTCTTTTTTTGTGTGTCTGAATTACATAAAGAAACAGCTAAACACCATAGAGTACTTCTAAAGTCACCACCATTCTATACACATATAAAGATTGCTTAGTACAACACCATTAAATTTGTCTCAAATTTTTTAAAATGAAAATATTACTCTATTAGGCCCCATTCCCACTGAGCGACATGAAAATCGCGCGACTTTGAGCGATATTGCGCGACGAGCGATATTGAGCGACTTGTCGCGCAACTTTTTCCTATTGGGCTGTATGCAATTAGGAGCGAAATCGCTCGAAAAACGGGTCACGTAGGAGCGACAAGCTACCAGCGACGAGCTACAAGCGATATTGAGCGATATTGAGCGACGAGATGTGAACAGCTCCATTGAGAACGATTGGAGACCAGTGCGATATCGCTGCAAAAATCGCTCGATAAATCGCTCAGTGTGAACGGGGCCTTATGCTGAATGTGGTGAATATAAACAGATGAGAGGGACAATAACTCTGAGGAACACCTTGAGGAATGTTCTCTTTCTATAGACAATAACAGGTTATGCATGGCTTAGGATGCCGTAATTATACTTAACATAAGGTGGAGACAATAAAATGATGAAATTATCAGCAAAATAGATTTCACTGGATTTTTTCCCCTTATATGAAATATGGCAGAATTGATTGGAGAAACAAGCCAGGGCAGCTTCATGAAGGAAAACTGTCAAAAACAATATTTCTCATGGAAAAAAAAGGCAAAATAGTCCCTAAAGGTTAACAGAATGTACAACTCTGGCCAATTTAAAGGGCCCCTTGTGTTGGGATTATTGCCTGTTTTCTTGGAGTTTAAAAAGAAAAGGGGAGAACCGCACCACGTGAAAATGTAAATGACCATGTTTAATATGTAAAATAAGTATAGTGGACAAATCATGTGAATCAAATGCTTAAAGTGTATAATCTGAAACATTCTTCAAGACAAAGACAGAAATAGAATATCTTGAGTGCTGCTCTGGTATCAGATTGTGTGGAAGTGAAGCATAAAAACATGGTGAGATCTGATTTAATTATGTGTTACCATTTGTGTGCACATACTGTATTTTGGTCTCATATTTCCATGGCAATCCATCAATGATGTAATGCGTGTCTATATATCCCAGCAGTAGAGATTAATCTGGTATAGAAACCTACCAAATTAGCAACTATTTAATAATAGTTCTAAAACACATGCCTTTCATTTCAATTTTAGTCAACTAGATCTAAAAACTGACAATTATAATTCTGCACAGCAGCCATCCGACAATGTAACAATTTATGTTTAACCATACTGCTGCTGGAACAAAAGTCAGCAGGAACTTTTCCCAGACAACTAGTGAAAGCCTGTTTATTACCCATATCACGACACACTGTAAAACCCCCTACTGGGTAAAGTCAACCGACTTCAGGCAAATAGCTTAGTGGACTGTGGCAACAAAAGGTGGAACACACTTGATATCAAGCAATCTGCATATATCTAAATTATGCTGTCGCCATAAAATAATTAGAATCAAAAATCAAGAAAGAAAACACAACAAAAGGAAGCTTTAAAAAAGTAAGAACTTACCCAGTTCATTAAGACTCTGTGCAGCTTTAGTTATCTCCCTGCTGCCGCCCTGCAGCTGGCCCTGAAGCCTCTTACTAAGATACAAGATGCGTATAATTCTCCGCAGCAAATCACAAGCAGACTGTAAATAAAATAGTTTTTGTCGTTGAATTATTATACATTACAGGTTGCAATATAATTCCTAGAATAGCACCTAAAGTATCTCACAACATGGATTTACATTACAACGCATGTAACTTTTCTGGTACAAAAAATGCATTTAATTTTGGGTGGTTGTGGAGTAAATGTATATCTTGATGACACAGACAGAAAATAATAATTAACCAGCATCTAATCATACTAATTATCTCGCAGGATCAGTACACACTTTGTTCAACAGTACCAATCCCTGATAAAGGAGGACCCTTTGAACTTCTGACACGCGTTAGCTTTTTATGATACGAGTCTGCATATAAATTGAATCCAGACTTTACATGGTCTGCTTTTGGCAATTTCCTCTGTGCTCAACAAGTCCATATGCAAGCAAAGAGCTGACCTTCGGCCACCACTCCTGAGGGAGCTGCCCAAGGACAAATCAATCCCTCTACACTACTTAAGATCTGACTGAGAACACCCAGCGCCCCTACCTCTTTCTTCTTCAAGAAGAACTGATATTTTTACAAACTATATGTTGCTTGTTTCCTAGAAACATTTTTGTTACAAAGTTTAAAAAAATGCTTAAAGCGGAATTCCAGACAGAGGTCTGTCATTTCTGGTGTGTAATAAAAGTTACCACTAATGAAGTTCATGCCACATCCAGATCACTGCTTTGTAGTATAAAATTCATACTTATATTCATGACAGATAGTACAGCTACAGCGGTTCTTCCAGCGCGCTGTGGCTATGAGACCTGCAGCTCTCATACATGGAAGTACTAGAGTTGTTTATCTTATGCCCTCTCCCCTTGTCCGTTCACAGAACGTTCTTTGAATGGACAAGGGGAGGGCGGGCAGATAAACAACAGTAGTGATTCCATGTATGAGAGCTGGAGCAGCAGGCTGGAAGTACAGCCACATCTTCTGGCTGGATCTGGCATTGAGGAAAGTATGGATTTTATACTACAAAGCAATTATCTGGGTGTGGCAGAAAGCAAATCAGAGGTACCTTTTTTTACACAACAGAAACTACAAACACCTCTCTGCCTGAAGCTCTGCTTGCAGTGTACATATACACTGGCTTTGCTAAACTCTAGTTTCTTAAGTTAAACCTGATCTGGCTTACAATGTTGACAGCAGCACTGACTAAGTGACTACCGATATGACATTTTCTGGCCAAAACCAAAAAAATTGTCAGGCCGAAACTGAAACCAATTTTTTTTTTTTCTAACCTTATTTCTAAAAAAAATATTTTATTTTTATTTATGCATTTTTATTTTGTATTACACATTTTTATTTTCTAACTTTACGGTCATTGGCTCTGGGTAAAATATCAGGGGCCTAAACAGACCCCTGATATTTCCCTTTTAAAATGGAGAAAGAGATCGAGGATCTCAATCTCTTTTTCTGCAGCCCCTGTTATGAATGAACAGGAATCCTCTATACTGAGTGATCCTGTTCATTCATAACTTGCGTATATAGTATTTTTACTATGTTCACTAGGGTTGCACAGATACCAAGTACAATACTCGGTACAAGTAGGGGTACCGATACTTTTGCGCTAAAAGACTATACCAGATAAAAATTCAAAAATTAGGAGGCAGCTGCCATTTGTAAGGAGCACACGGAGCTCCTGGGATTTGTACATCTGTGTTTTAATGTACGATTTTGTTTTTATAAATATAAATAAAGGGATGCACAGATACCAGTTTTGCGAGTACAAGTACTGGTACTTGCCTTGTACTTACAAGTACGAGTACTGATACATTTTTGTTTGTCGTCATGTGACAGTTTTTCTAAAACAAACACAGACTAATGATTTCAGGACAGTGGTGGAGTGCCTGAGCTAGGTCCCAGCTGCAACCCTGGTAGTTCTCATGAATATGCCAAGAATCTGCACTGGTACTCAAAATGTATCTGTGCATCCCTAATGTTCACAATCATGAATGAACAGGAAGTGATGTAGAGCACTTCCTATTCATTCATATTTGGGGACACAGTAAATTACTATGTCCTCAATTATTTACAAACACTGATTGCTGAGTGTTTGTATACCGTTCTCCATCCTGACTCTTTCAGCTGTCACAGGGGGCTGAGCCAGGGGTGCAGGAGGAGAGCTCAGTCTCATTTGACAGCTGACTCCTCCCCCACACCACCAGCTCTGCCTACTCCGGCAGCCTCCGCCCCCACACTGCTCTCCATCCTGATCTGTCACAGGAGGCTGAGCGGGGCGGAAGGAAAGTTCGGCCTCCTGTGACATCGCGTCTCACAGCGCTCTCCTTCCCACCCAGCCTACTGACAGTTTCTCTCCTCACCGATGGACAGTGTTCTGTGTCAGAGGGGACACATAGCAAGAGAAACTATGGATGCACCGCAATTTAGTCTGAAAGATGGTACTTTCGACATTTCGGCCAAAGTACCATTTTCAGCCGATATGTTTCAGCGGCTGAAATGTGGGTGCATCACTAGCACTGACCTGTGTTTGTCTTCTGTGTGCTACTGTGAAGCCCCTTGGATAGTAGGTCCAGGATGCACATCGGGCCCTGACTTTTGGCCAAGTTTAAACCCTCATATAAAAAAGGGACCCAAGAGGCTCCACAGAGACGGATAGGAAGACTAACACGGGTACCTGCAGGACGTTGCAAGCACTGTTGTTACTTTAGATATATTTTAGGCCAAGTCAGGTTTGTTTTAGGGTACAAACTTGACCACCCGTGTACATGTAGGCACTTTCTGTAAAGAGACAGGTTTTACAAAAGAGATTTCCAAGAAAGATGTAAATGCCCTTTTTTATTGGATCCTTAAGTACAATTATGTGTAAGTACCTATTACTTTATTGTCTGAGTTTAGTACTAGATTTCACCATCATGAATGATTTCAATGGTTTTGTTACATGACTGTCACAATAGGCTTTCTCGTTATAGAAAATACATTTTTTTATTTTCAGATTAATAGTCATACCTGAAGGCGTGCCAGCTGTGCAGTGCGGGACACAATTTTGTTATAAGGATCTACAATCTTTGCTCTTATTCTACAATGAAAACAAAGATGATTTTTGTGTTACTTTAATACATATCTAACATTGACAATGCATTTTACCACTAGTATGTCATACATACCTGTCAATTGCACTTTGCAAAGCACCAATTCTAGCCTGCATCATCTGAAGAACGCCTGCAAAAATGACATGCAATAGGGAAGTAAATATAAGTACATAAAGAGAGACACACACATTCCAATGAACATCACTCTTGTTCAATGTTTCCCTTGTGTTATCATGTACAAAAGACACATGCAAATCCATAGCAATCCCTGTGTGTTTTTTTTATAATCATATCTGTGAGATATGTACAGCATAGCCTACCATATTTATATTTGTAGGAACTCGTTTTATAACTCCTTTTGCAATCCATCCCATGTGCATCAAAAACTCGTCTAATGAGGTTCTTTAAAATCTATTGACTGAACCATATTGCACTTCCATAGAGTTCTGTTGTGAAGAGCAGGTCATCAGAATTATTTTTTTCCCAAATTAAACCGCTCAGACCATACATTGCCAGACATTACTGGAGCACCCGACACTAATTATCTTTGCTCTTTTTAAAAATGTTATCATCCTATTCACACACATTTTCCTATAGTTAAGTAGAGACACAACCGGTAATGAGTGGGAGAGACCCGCCTCTCAACCTCAAAAGGATGGCGGAGATTTGCATTACACTGTGTCCAGGTTTTTGGGGCACAAGCCCCTTCTAGGTATTTAAAGTGAACCCTCGTGGCTGTGGACAAGCCAGCAGTCGTCAGACTTCACATGACCTCTGACCCTTCATCTTCCTTTTCAACAATGCTCCCACATTTCTATAATGCCAGGCTTTTTCCTGCTACGTAGACTTACACAGCAACTGTGGTTCACTGTTCCCCCCTCAATGTAAATGCTCAGAATAATAGAAAGCAATACAATGTATGCTAATGTGTGCAAAATGAGTGCCCAAGACAATTACTTGTTATCTATAGCAGCCAATCAACTTCAAACCATCAACATTTCCCAGTTAAAAATGCAAAATAAATTTTGAATGGCTGTTACAGACAAGAAAAGCTCTTCTCACTCACTTTGATAGATACCGTATATACTCGAGTATAAGCTGAGTTTTTCAGCCCATTTTTTGTGCTGAAAAATGCCCCCCTCGCCTTATACTCGAGTCAGCGTCACGGGGCGGCTTATACTCGAGTATATACGGTAATCACATAAAACATGGTAGCTGCTGACAAATGGATTGGTCGCAAGTGGGAGAAAGTAGCTAGCTGCACATTAAATTCAATCATGCAAATATGAAACAGCAAGCACATAAAATGTGAGAACAGAAAACAAAAAATTTCAGCAAAATGTTACAGTAAAAACTTTATTTATAATCGCTGTACTATTATATACTATATCAACAGTTTTAATGTACAATTTACAAATGCCATTATGTAAAAAATTGCCCTGTTAATCACAATTACATATATAAACTAATAAAGGATCTGATGACATGCAAATCATTTTAATAAGGAAATGCAGCATTTCTTAACCACTAAAAATAAATCTTCTAACACTTGCTGCATTCGCTTTACATAAAAAAAGAAAGCTGAACATATACTCTATGTGAAACAACCTGTGAACACAAGGATTTGGTAAGATTATGTTTATATATAAAACTTGGCATGGGTTTGCAAAATAGATCAAATGTGGTCAGAGCTCCACCTGCTGGACGACAAAGAATACAACAAGTAATCTATCCGATTCACATTGGTGGCCATGGAGATACTGTTCTGAGATTTACACATGGGGAGATAGAAGAACAAAAGGGGGACAACAAAATACATTAAGGAAGGAATCATTAGCAGGAATGAAGCCAGCAATCAAAAATAAAGTCAAGACCATGTGAATTAACAACTGCTAACTCAACATTATTTAGATGGTAAGCAAATGGTAAGCAAATAAGCTGCCTGAGCTCTGACACTATACAAAATAGCAAAATGCAAAATGCATGTCTGCCACCATCACATACACGAACCATGGATAAAATCAATGGTTCTGAGACATGCAGCTTGCCCTTACTTAAGGAACACATTAAGAAGAAGCCCTAAATTAGCTTCACCCTTGTTCACCATGTGCTTAAAGCCATACTACCTATGGAAAAGCATAATACACCAAAACACCATTTTTGTTTTTAGAGATCTGACAGGAATTTGCAATGATTTGTGGGAAGTGTCAGATGTTTTGTTTTAATCTTTGACTTGAAATAATAGTTTCCAATAAACTTTCAGTTAGTTGATTGTTTGTCTGTATGTTTTACATGATAATCCTTTAAACCTCAGAACCTTACACAAATTTGATTAAAAACAAATAAAAAGATGACCACACACAGAGGAATGCACTAAGCATGCCCATTATGTTCCAATACTAAGCTCATAATTCAATGCTACAAAAAGAATAAAAGTGAACATACAGTAGTTATATTGTTCTGTTGTGTTTTATCCATCCTAATCCTCTGCACACACGAAAATAATAATAGTAAATAAAAATACCCGAGGGTGGGACAACACTTTGTAGAACTTTCCTGCTGAAACCTAGGTCTTGCTGGGAAAGAACCACCACTCTATCATTTTTGATGAAGGGGTTTGCATGAAACCATGTAACCGACCTGCAAATGCTCCTGATCTTTCAGTCTATGATGCTGCCAAGAATTGGTGCCTTAACTAAAGATGGGAACAGACTTCCCTCTCCTTAATAAAAACAAAAGGTGATGACATCTCCATCTAGTCACTGAGTTTTTGATGCCCGAGGACACTTCCTAGGGCCACTGAAAAGCACCATAAAGATGACAATCTTTTAAGTTTTTTTGTCGATTCCAGGTACTGTAAAAGACATTAGCGGACATCCAAGCAGTGAAAGTCCTCTTCTCCCCATTTTTGGAGTTCTCACAAAAGGAGGTACATGAATTTCCTGACTTCTGTGAATGGTAGATACTACTATAGGCAGGTTTAAAAATGACTCCAGAATTACTATCCAGAATGACAAATAGGCTTCGGTGAGGCCTGCATGTCACCACTCTCCTAACTGTGAAAGCTGCCAGCAAGGAAGTCATTTTGAGTGTCAGAAACCTAATCAAGGATTTTTGTATGGGCTTAAATTGAGATTTGGTTAATCCATTCAGAACCAAAGAAAGATCCCAGGGAGCATGACTGTGTGCATCGCCCCGTCTGACATAAGCCAACCAATTAACAGATCTTATAGCTTATCCAGAAACACTGACAGGGACATAATTTGAACTCTCAAGGTACAGAGGGTCAGACCTAGACCTATGCCCTCTAGAAGGACATCTAGAATAACAGATATACTAGAAAGTGAATACTTCTTACTACAAGAGGAACAAAACCATGCAGATTGTATAATAATTTTTTTCTAGTTACTGTCTTACTGATCTCACATAAGGTGTCGATTATTCTACATGACCAGCCTTTTGTTTTCCGTAAGTTAGGAGACCAACAGACTTGCAACCAAGAGTGCCAAAGCAGGCGCAGTAAAACACAAACCACGGCCTACATAAGAAATATGCAAATATTGCTTTCTCCCCAGTATGAATAAATTACACACTATACACAGGAAATCGGAAGCATACTTATAAAACAATGCATAACCAGCTGTCTTCTTCCTTGCCACAAATTCACTTGATTGGCTGTTCACCCATCTTCTGTCATAGTTATAAAGCCCATTTGCTGTACCCTTTTCCATCCTGATGCAACTATGAAACTAAAGCTGGCCATACACCTTACAATGATCTGCAGACTTTCTATGGTCAGATGGAAAAGGTGCAACAGATTCCTCCATCTACACTTAACTGTGTGGAAGGAGTAATCTCCACCTGGGCCAAGCTTCCGTAATCTTGCTGGTCGGCCCCGCTGGCTGTCAAAACACCTGAACAATGCCTGCATCCAATCAGATTGTTCCGGTGTTTTGAGAGCCAGCGGGGCCGACTAGCAAGATACTGAAGGTTGGCCCGGTGGGAGATTCCTCCATCCACACAGTTTAGCATAGACGGAGGAATCCGTTGCACTTTTTCCATCTGACCATAGAAAATCTGCAGATAATCTACAGGTGTATGGCCAGCTTTATTCTCAATGCAGAGGAAAATCTCTCCTTATGCTCAAAGGGCTGGACAGCAGCCAGGCTGTAGCAGGTGATAAAGGATCAGTACGGAAATACTAGAAAAAAAAAAAAAATGACTAGGGCTGCTAAAATCAGCTAATTAGCACTTAATAGGCGATTTTAACTGTGAACTTGAATGTGAAAATGCATAACATGTAAAATGTTAAACATACTCTTTTCCACATAGAACTAGTACATGCGCCGGTCATTCCAGAGGTTGGCTTGTAGGTACTAGGCTTCGCATGAATACAGTTACATTGAAAGCACAATCTTTTATTAGCAGAATGAAATACTATACTAAGAATTCTAGTTGACTCTATCCATTCACCTAAAGTAGGCAATAACTAGAAATATAAACAAAAGATAAAAGGGTTTCTTGCAATGTGCAAGAATTATCCTCATGTCTGCATTTTGTAGTTCTCTGTCCTGACCTTGGAATAAAACTAAGCATGAGGCAAGAAAAACACTTCATATATCTTTATGGTCCGGTTATTTCATGTCTAGACTTCCAAGAAATACATTGTTTATGCATCGGTTGTGTCACTCTTAGATTTCAGATGAAATTTCAGCTACATAATGAGGACAGTCTTACAGTGGTAAAGTATATATCTAATTACATGAAATGCATTTTGTGATTTCTACTGTATAGAAACGTTTTCTAGGCTTTATCTTATGAGAAACATTAGACACTCTCTCTCTCTCTCTCTCTCTCTCTCTTCACATACCAGTTGTACTACATAATGCATATGCCCATTCCCAGACTGAATGTTCAGCAAAAAATGGTCTCAGCATCCCCAGAGTGAGTAAATATAATAATAGGTTTTTATTCTTACTGTAAAATCATTTTCTGGGAGTCCATTGAGGGACACAGCTCTGAAGAATTCCGACACATAGGGTTATGCTGCTGCTTCTAGCAGCAAAACCCCACGTCTCAGAATTCTTCAGAGCTGTGTCGAAGGAGAAATGTGCTCATTTCTTAGACAAAGAGAATGATTTATAAACGCGAGCAAAGGAAAGTGGTGAAGATGTAGCCCACAGCATATAGTCAGGTATAATCTCTAAAATGAGGCAAGAAATCTGCCTAAAGCTGGCCATACGCTAAGCAAATGTTGGCCAGTTTTTGATGAACCGGCTGAAATTCATACAGTGGGTTCTCCTGACTGCACCTTTCCGTCCCTCATTATTCAATCAGAAAATCTTTGGGCAAATAGTGATGGCAATCAATTAGCACCGCTGTCAGAAAGCTGTCCTGCCTATAAAAAGATTACAGTGTGTGGTCAGCTTTAGATGTCAGGCCCTGTCTTCTATTTTTACCAGCTCAGTAGATCTAAACTGATTTCACTAAATTACCAAACCCTCACAAATGGCAAAAAACAGCCCGTAGTGATAGACTCACTCATTTACTGAGCAGTAGTGATCTAAAGCACTGACGTTTGATATTCAACTGGGCCAATCCTCACCAAACAGATCTACCCGGCTCCAGCAGGGCATATAGCGGAGGCCAGGAGTACAGGTGAACCATTTCACTATAAAACCAATAATCCCTGTTGGATTGCTTTCCCAGATCCAGGGTTATGGCTTCCCGTCTGCTCAAACTCCTCCACATACTATTGAATGTTGTATAGATGTGTCCCTACTATTGTTACACAGCAAAAAGGAATAGAGGTCATGATAGAAACAAGGGAGCTACCAATACCTAGTTAGAAAACACTCTTTATCATATCTCTTATTGGAAACATACAAGGCCTGCCATTAATGGCTTCCTTTAGAGAAAGCTAGTTGCCCTATTGTCATGTTGATCCTCTGCCTTCATTACACCAGGTCACTGACCCAAAACAAGTAAGCGGATCAGCTGTACAAACATCATTGTTGTGTACTTAGTCAGTGGCTCAGAAAGTACTGTAGCCAGAGTATTGGCAAGACAACTATGTAAATACCATTTCCGGAAAGAGTTAAAAACAGTGGCAAATACATACACTATATTGCCAAAAGTATTGGGACGCCCCTCCAATTCAGGTGTTCCAATCATTTCCATTGGCCACAGGTGTATAAAATCCAGTGCCTAGGCATTTAGACTGCTTCTACAAACATTTGTGAAAGAATGGGTCGCTCTCAGGAGCTCAGTGAAATCAAGCGCGGTACCGTGATAGGTTGTCACCAGTTCAATTGCAATCCGTGAAATGTCCTTGCTACTAAATAGTCCACGGTCAACTGTTAGTGGGATTATAACAAAGTGGAAGCAACTGGGAACAACAGCAACTCAGCCACGCAGTGGTAGGCCACATACAATGACAGAGCGGGGTCAGCGCATAGTGCACAGAAGTTGCCAACTGTCTGCAGAGTCAATAGCTACAGACCTCCAGATTGGCACAACAACAGTGCGTAGAGAGCTTCATGGAATGGGTTTCCATGGCCAAGCAGCTGCATTCAAACCTTACATCACCAAGTGCAATGCAAAGCGTCAGATGCAGTGGTGTAAAGCACGCCGCCACTGGACTCAAGAGAAGTGGAGACGTGTTCTCTGGAGTGATGAATCACGGTTCTCTGTCTGGCAATCCGATGGATGTGTCTGGGTTTGGCAGTTGCCGGGAGAAAGGTACTTGCCTGACTGCATTATGCCAAGTGTAAAGTTTGGTGGAGGGGGGATTATGGTGTGGGGTTATTTCTCAGGGGTTGGGCTTGGCCCCTTAGTTCCAGTGAAGGGAACTCTTAAGGCATCAGCATACCAAGACATTTTGGACAATTCCATGCTCCCAACTTCGTGGGAACAGTTTGGGGATGGCCCCTTCCTGTTCCAACATGACTGCGCACCAGTGCACAAAGCAAGGTCCATAAAGACATGGATGAGCAAGTTTGGGGTGGAGAAACTTGACTGGCCTGCACAGAGTCCTGACCTCAACCGGATAGACTGCGAGCCCGGAGACTGCGAGCCCGGCCTTCTTGTCCAACATCAGTACCTGACCTCACAAATGTGCTTCTGGAAGAATGGTCAAACATTCCCATAGACACACTCCTAAACCTTGTGGACGCCTTCCCAGAAGAGTTGAAGCTGTTATAGCGGAAAAGGGTGGGCCAACTCAATATTGAACCCTACTGACTAAGATGGGATGCCATTAAAGTTCATGGGTGTGTAAAGGCAGGCGTCCCAATACTTTTGCCAACATAGTGTATGTCTCTATGGCAGGTTCTCACTAAATTGCAGAAACGTCACCAGCACACCAAATCCTTATAGGATCAAAGTTAGTTCTCACTAAAGCCCTAAACACATCACCTTTTTTTAATTCAGCTTGTAAATGTTAGTTTAGCTTCAGCGAGAATTTACAAAGCAGATAACCTCTAATGCTGTGCATTTCCAGGACACAACAGTAGCTGTCTGCCTTGAGGCAGGTTTGGTCTGACTGAAACCACTGACAAAAGATGCCCTATAAAGGATGATCCACTAGATACTTGTTCACTTGTGGGGGTAAATTACAGCTTCAGCTATTGAGCTCTGTAAGCAGCATGCTTCTTGCTGCAGGTTGTAAAGAGAATGTGGAAAACATGCACAGCCCCAACTGCTGGCTGAATAAACACAAAATAATACTCATATGGAATACTTAGAATATTTACCTGACTTTAAAAAGACAGCTTTACATTTAGCAATCTCATCCTTTAATAATTTCCCCCCACCACCATCAGTGATGCCCATCTGACATACTTTCCCTCCACCCCTAACCAGTGATCTTTCCTCTAACATCCGTTCCTGCCAGGATCTCTTCATACCGTGCATATGCGATACAGCCCCATTCATTCCCATGAGTACGCTGTACTCTGGGTGCCCTCCAGCGGCCCCTCGGAGTAAGGCTACATGTTTGCTAAAATGTATACTTATATTTTATCCTCTGTCTGTAACATTAGAGCAGGGATGTCCAAACTCCGGCCCTCCAGCTGTGGTGAAACTACAAATCCCATGAAGCATCTCTCTGCGGGAGTCATATCTGTGGCTGTGAGAATCTTGCAAAGCCTCATGGGATTCGTAGTTCCACCACAGCTGGAGGGCCGCAGTTTGGACATCCCTGAATTAGAGCAATGCAATCATTTCCTTCCGTCAATAATGTAATGCTTTAACATTCTAGCATACTGCAGGATCCCTTTCTTAACACCTTCATGACTGAGCTTCTTTTTAGTTTGTTCGTTCCATTTTTGCTGTGTGATTCTTCCACGGCAGTAATATACTTTCTTACTAAGTGCACCGACACATATTATATATTGTTTTTTAGAGGACAGATAGGGCTATACATGTATATCAAATATCTGTACTTAACACCTCACTTAGGACGAATAGAATATGAAAAAAATTAGAAAAAAAAAAACTTCAAGAAATTTTTTTTTACCTAGTTTTGATTATTATTTTTTAGAAAAATAGCACAGCTAAATAAATGCATTAAAGTAAATTAATTTATTTGTCCTTTATTTGGAAACACCTCACATCCCTAGGATTTTAGACATTTGACTGCACTTCTCAGTCTAAAACTAAAAGGTAACATTTTGCGTTTTTTTTTCTCTAAAAGCTAATAGTAGTCACCTGGCATACAATGTCACTGTCACTAAGTGTCACACTAAAGGTGCCCACACACCTTGCGATAATCGTACGATAATCGCGGGAAATCCCGCGATCGTATGGATTATCGCAAGGTGTGTGGAAGGCGTGCGACCGTTTCTACTGTACGGTCGCATGACTTTTATCTTAGGAACATGTTCGAAAACCCGCCGAGAATCGTACGATTGTCGGCAGGTGTGTGGTATGTTCGTAAGATAAATGCCGCATGGGCCGGTGTGCGCAAGTGCACACTGCCTGTTCAGCATTGTGGTCATCAGAAGGCCGCCCCTCAGCAGGGCGGGCTTGCGATTATCGCAAATACGATCTGCCTGTCCAAGATGGGCAGATCGTACGTTTTTTTAATTATCTTACAACCTTGCTTGTAAGGTCTGTGGCCAGCTTAAGTTTCAGTGACATACTTTGAACATCACCGTCATGAGGGGGTTAAATTTAAAAATGAACCACTTAGGGTGAAAAACAAATCTGCATTTGCAGATTTTCATTGTATATAAATACATACATACACACACATATTTAAATTTTCGGTTGTGGTTAGGCTGCTCCAAACTTAGGAACAGCCAATAATAACTTTAGTGACACTGATCCTTACTTACTTTCACAATAGAAACATGTAGCTAAATGTTTCTATTCTGTAACATTTAGAAAAAAGCCGGTACACGTCGGGATGCCGATCTATACCGGCTGTCAAGCGGTGACAACAAGTGCAGTAAATACCGCTCTGCTATCACTATCAGACATCCGATGCCTGAAAGGGATCGGGTGTCTGAAAAAGATGAACTCTTTCATTAATGGATACTTCAATACTGAGGCATCCATTAATGAACAGTAACCTCTGATCTCAGCGGTTACTGGCATTACAGAGCCCCAAATAGCTGATCACGTACAGTGTACGTGAGCAGCCATTTGGGCACTTATATGTGGGGACATACAGTGTCTGTCTCCTGTCACGAAGGGGTTAAATACTAAACATGGATGCGAAAAACAAAAGTTATTGTTAAAAAGTATTTTACAGTAGCCAAAAATAAAGATCATTCAATTCACCTTTCATGACATTGCAAATGAAAACTTACAGTAAAGAAATACAAACTTACCTTCTAGAGACTCCATACCAGTTGCTTGTGCCAATAGGTCTTCATGTCGTGCAACTACCTACAACAACAAAAAAATGATATAAAAGAACGATTCAAACATTTTCCAAGATGTTTAAAGCCGACCTCCAGGCAGTTATAACATCATAAAAACATGCATGCAGCTCTTTTTACTTATAAATCATAAATGTTATTTTTAATGCAAGCAGTGCAAGTACCTGAATTTGACCTGGTATCAGCCTCTTGTAATCCCTGTACAACAGCATTTCGACTAGGAAAGGGAAAATCAGCACAAGGAGCCAATTAATTGTGCTTTGATGCAAGGAATATGTTGATAGCAGGAGAAAGCAGAGTGGTGAAGAGATTAGTTTACCAGTGTTCTGTTTCTCCTTTTACTCTCAAGTTACAGGATGGTGGCAGGAACAAGACCTGTAAGTGTTAAGGAACTACAGCTGAGAGAACTCAGGGCTTATGTCCTGATAGACAGGGCTGTGCTGTGTGCCAAAGCTGTAAATTGCAGGACTGGAAGGGCAAAAATAAAAAAAAAATCCTATGGGAGGTAAAATAGCGTGGAGTTAAGACTAAACTATTTAATGTACCCATACATCAGCACTTATGAATGTGGCAGAATTGGGGTAATAACTAAGGAGGCACCGATATCATGTATTTTTATGAGTACTCGTGACAATGCTCCAATACTAATGTCTATGGGCATAGATGAAATGGTGTGTAAATGTACATGGATACAGAACTGGCTACTGGAACGTGTCCAGAGAGTATTGATAAATGGCTCTTTTTCAAATTGGTCTAAAATCGAGAGTGGCGTGCCCCAGGGTTCTGTCCTAGGCCAATATTGTTTAGCCATGTTTCTGTGTTTGCAGATGATAATAAAAATGGGAGAGTAATAGACACGGACTAAGACATTATAACATTACAGGAGAACCTGGATAAAATATGGGAGTGGGCAACTATATGGTAGATGAGGTTTAATGTTGAAAAATGTAAAGGAAAGAATTGTCAGGTTAAAAACAGGCAAGTGGAATACATATTAATGGGAACTCCACTAGGGAAGTCAGAAATGGAAAAAGATTTGGGGGTCATAGTAGGCCACAGATTGAACAATAGCTTGCAATGCCAAGCTGCGGCAAACAAAGCTAGCAGAGTACTGTCATGCATTAAAAAGGAATGTACTGTAGTGACAAAGCAATCATTTTGCCACTTTATATATCACTGGTTCGGCCACATCTTGAGTATGAGGTTCAATTTTGGTCACCAATCCACAGAAAGGATGTCCTTGAGCTGGAGAGAGTCCAGAGAAGGGCAACCAAACTGATTAAGGGGCAGGAGGACCAAAGCTATGAGACAAGGTTACTAAATTGTTCACGCTAGAAGTGAGGTGATTAAGAGGGGACATGATTTTGATGTACAAAATGTTCAGTGGTGATGGCAACATCAGCAATAAACTTTTTACAGTAAACTTCATAACAAAGACTAGAGGCCACCACCTAAACCTGGTGGAGAAAAGATTTAACCACACAGGGAGTAGGGGCTTCTTTTCAGTCAGAGTGGTTACATTTTGGAACTCTCTGCCACAAGCAGTGGTATCAGCAGAGAGTATTGAATCATTCAAAACTCATTGTAGATACCTTCCTCAGAGACTGTAACATACAGGGGTACATGTAATCTTAATGACTGGAATACACACACATACTCGTACACACACACAAAGGTTAAACTTCTTGGTAACCATGCAGCAACTGTATACATCGCTTCCACCGGTGCACAAATCCTCCTAAGACCCTTTGCACCCTACCCGAGACCTTCCGCTCAAGACATCAGGCTGGCACCCCAGTGCAGCAGCACAAAGTATGTAGCATAATCATATAATATTATTCTGCATTGCTGTAATGTATTGCAGTGATTTGTAGTCCTCTATAGCCAGTGCCATTCTGCATTGCTGCACAATGTATTGCAGTGATTTGTAGTCCTCTATAGCCAGTGCCAATTCTGCATTGCTGCACAATGTATTGCAGTGATTTGTAGTCCTCTATAGCCAGTGCCAGTCTGCATTGCTGGGATATGTATTCCTCTATAGCCAGTGCCATTCTGCATTGCTGTATAATGTACTGCAGTGATTTGTAGTCCTCCATAGCTGATGGTATTCTGCATTGCTGTATAATGTATTGCTGGGATTTGTAGTCCTCTAAAGCCGGTGGTATTCTGCATTGCTGTATAATGTGCTGCTGAGATTTGCAGTCCTCTATAGCTGATGGTATTCTGCATGGCAATATATTGCAGCTGCAACCAGGCCCTGGTGCTCCACCACTGTCTTAAAATGTATTTGTCTGTATTGTTTAAGAAAAACTGTCATATGAGATTAAAAAAAAAAAATTATATCGATAATTGGTATCAGCGAGTACTTGAGGAAAAGTATCGTTACTCGGTCTGGAGAAAATAGTATCCGTGCATTCCTAGTAATAACCAAACTACCATTAACAATTTTTTTTGCATAACTTTTTCTGTTATGTCTTTCCATGTAAACACTGGACAATAAAGCTGGCTATACACTGGTAGATTTTCATACGCATGTTCATATGAAGAATCTCGTCAGAACATTTGACAATGTCATCAGAGACTTGACAAATGTCTTTCGAAATTTCGTGTGATTTCAATATGCAATTTCAGAAATGACTGGATTGTCTTAAATGAAACCCACATTCCTTGGTAAACTTTTGCTCCCTTAAAACATTTTTCCATCCCGTTCCTTCAATTTTTTTTCGTCATTACGGGCAAAGTCATCAATTTGACCCCAAAAACGATTAGAAAATCAAACAAGCATTCCGAAAACAAATTTATCTGAACGAAATTCTACTGGTGCATGGCCATCTTTTCACATTGAGCATAACTGAAGTGAGAAGGGCAGATGATGGAATGAAGTGTCATAATATTTTTTTGGAGCTCAAATAAAATGGAAATGAGCTTTGGCGTACACCTGTGGTGCCCACCCTTGCGGAATGGGTTGTGGAAATGGACTGCATTGCGGACCTAGAGGGCCTCCTAGCTGGAGAACGGGGTGAGGGAGATAAATATGTACATACATGGTCCGCCTGGATCGTTTTCAGGAACACTGACGGATTCCAGGCTACACTCTCATCTTAACTTGCCTCCCGGAGGACACCGTTGGCCACCATGTCTGGGGGTAGGAGACTAACATCCCCTTCCATGAACCTCTATCTGCGCACCTCGGCAGGACCTCTCTCCTCTTCCTCTATCTACCTTTTCGCTTCTTCCCCCCTGTGGAACCTTCCCCCTGGCACCTTCTCCCTGAGCTGAGCAAATGCAGCTGGTTACCATTCTCATGTGTGCTATAGCCCGAGACACACAATGCATTCACCTGTGAGGTTTCCCCCCTTGCCCTGTCCTCACGCCCCAAGATGGGTGCTGTTGGGAGAGGACGGTGCAGGCTGCCCAGAACCTGTACCAACCTGTAGGATTTTATATAGAACATTGTGTCCTGTGTGCTATCAGTAATGTTATACTTTGAAACCACTTATACCCTGCCTACTGACCTACAGGCTTTTACTTTTCCTTTATCGTCTGTATTATGTTTTTTTTTTGTGTCAAGGTGAACTTGCATGTTTACCTCCTTGTAATGTATTTGAAAATTCAATAAACTCAGATTGAACTAAATAGAAATGAGCTGTTTCTCATCTCTCGTCTCAGGACTATGCTTATGTTTATCTATCTGTGCATTGCTTAAGCCACAGCAATGAATTTCTGGGCTTTGCAAAACAAAGATAAAAGGTAATTCCATTTTCTCACCAAATGTGAGAAAATAAAATTACCCATACAAATCTGCCCCTCTCTCCATCCCCGCTGGTCATACCTTGCATGGAACAGTCAATTTCCCCCACAATAGCCAGTGTACGGTCTGTACACAGTACACCGCACTGCAGCAGTGCACTAGGCATCTTGAATAACACTCGCAAATGGCAAGCACTCATTGGTCAGGTGACCATGCTGGCCAATGACTGTTCACAAGCCCCGTTCTTTTCTTTACAGATATTGCTTAGTGGGATGATGGCATGCTTTGGATTATTACCATGTTTAAATATCCATTTCTGGTTCAACTTGAACTTTTGGACAGATGGCATCATATTCTCATCAGGCACACTTTGATATGATGCAAACTTAATAGCTGAATCAATGACTGTAAGCTGCCCAGGTCCAGCAGCATAGCAATCCCAAAGCATAACATTCCCAGCACCATGTTTCACAGCTGTTAGAAGATTATTCTTCTGAAATGCTGTCTTTGGTTTGTGGCAAACATGTTTACTGTTACTCTGACCAAACAACTCTAACTTTGATGCATCAGTCCTAAGAACAATGTACTAGAAGGCCTGGTCTTTGCCTATGTGCTCAATTGCAAACTGTTATCTTGCTATAATGTTTTTTTGGACAACAAAGGCTTTTTCCTAACACAACTCTCATGCAGGTTGAATTAATACAATCTCATTCTGATTGTTGATGCATGCACTTTGACCGCAACTGTTACAAGAGGTAAAATCCTGCAATTAAATGTTGGTGTTGTTCAAGGCTTCTTTTAGCATCAAACGGTCAGCTCTTGGGCTGAATTTGTTGGGCTGGCCAGTCCAGGAAAAATTAGCAGTTGTAGGCAAATATCTAATTTGTAGGCAAATTAGCAGGCAAACACCTAATTACTTACCTGTTCCAGCGCCGCTCGCTCCTGGCTGAAGAACTCCCGGCTCACGAACAGCTGTAAAGGCGAAAGTTTGCGGGCGCATGCGCAGTAGAGCAGAGGGGAGAAAAGAGTAACGAAAGTGAAGGGACGCTGCCTGGCAGCCGGGAGCGCGCATGGTGGAGAGGCACTGTGGGACATGGGGAGTCTGCAGTGGATCAGAGATCTGCATCAGCCCTGGAGGGTCTGTCGGAAAACAGTGGAATGAAGATAATCGGATGAAGAGGCAACAAATAAGGTAAGTGTTACAGCAGAATAGGGACACACACACACCTCTAATGCCACTTTAATTGTCCATACTTCACTACATTACCTGAAAATGCAATTCTTTATCCAACTGACTGATGCCTTGAGCAAGCTTTGCAAGCTGCTCTGCAATCACAGCCTGATGAATGGACTGGGAGGTGTATGTTTTAACATCAAAATCATCATGCAAAAAGTCTGTGTAACATTCTGAAAAGAAAAAAAAACAAATAATTTACAGTTATTTTGAATGCTTTACTAAAGGATATTGCACTTCTTAAAAAACAATATTTTAGACCAACTATTGTTTGGGTTGTGAACAAACAATAGTTAATATTCCTTTTCGGTATAACTTTTAAATTTAAAGTGACACTAAGCTCAGGAGTTAAATCTTGAAAATGCCTTAACTATTAACAAAAATGTATCTTATTTGTGTATCACTTGGCTGTAGATCCTCAAATCAACTATGAATTGGTGCTGACACTGTCCTTCCTTCTGGGGGGTGGCCACTCCAAGCAGGCTCCCAAAATGGACTATAATCTCAATACAAATTAGTAAACTAAACATGAGATTGTAGTCCATCATGGGAGTGAGCTTGGAGTGGTGACTACTTTACAACACACATAGGGACCATGGGAAACAAAAGTAGCCACCCTTACAGAAGGAAGGACAGTGTCAGCCCCAATTCAGAGAAGATGCATTATTGATAATAGTTAAGGTACTTGAATGTAATTTTAAGATTTAACTCCTGAGTTTAGTGTCACTTTAAGAAAAAACAGGAGATGGCAGTAAGTGATTTTTTTGCTTGCTGGCTTAATATTTAGGTCAGGGCAGCTGCCAAACTTGCTTCTGCAAAGGCTAAACCAAGTAATGACGTGCAATGTGTCCAGGAAACATAAAACTGGAACTAAACCTCTGTTTGTTGGGTGGTATACTACTATAATTTAGACGTATGCACAACAATATTGCATATTATGGCACACTTACCTTACAAGTGTGCTCTCCTCTAGTGCTGTCCAATCCAGGCTGTAAGTAGCAGGTCTGTCGCCCGCCCACTTTTCTCTGTCATTGGTCACTGGATGACCACTGATGATGTAACTCCCTGGCACCATTTTCTAAGGTCTGCTTTAATTAGCATTTAGCCCTTGCAGTGCGGTGGTGGATTTTGTATACATACACACACACGTCTACATGTCACTCAGAAGTGGGTGTTAGAAAGTGTGTAAGCCCCCATTCACACCTCAGTGTTTTGTCACGTGTTTCCCAAAGTGCAACAACACTCCACATGAAGGGTGCCATTATTTTCAAAGGTGTCCATTCACATGTGAGTGATGTGTTGCTGGGAAAAGTAATTGAGCTTCTTTTCGGGCAGACTTGCTCATTATTAGCCCCATAGATCTCAATGTAAGCACCTGAAAAATGCATATAACATGTACCTACCGACTGTCACCCACTCCATGTAACTAGCTTTCCACTGGCTAATACACAAACATTCAAGCCAGAAAAACACTTCTAAAGTCCTGAAACATGCTCAGATCAGGTGTGAGTGCTCAGACTACAGGCACAGTCCCTCAGCAGAGGGAATTCAGATTGGTTCCTGCACTCATGATTAAATAAAGACATATTAAACATAATATTGTTAGTGTACAGATCTAGATCATTGTCATTGCAGATCTACCCCACAACTAAACTTCCACCTGTCAGTCTGCCTCCTCCATCCCCCATCGCTTCTCAGTGATAATATTCAACAAAAAGTGTCATGCAAGAAAAGCAAAGCTGGTATCCTATGACATGAGTCAGACAGGCGTTTAATACAACATTATTCCACTCACCGTCCCGCAGCATATCCCTGACAGACATCGCTCCCCCTGGATCTGAACCGTCTCTCCCCTCCATGTCAGCAACTCTGTCACTGCCAACCACACGTGACGTCATAATCCGGCGCCTCGGCTGTCGCGCACGGTACGTCACATGAGGGAAGAGAGAACATGTTGTAATGACAGCTGAGGAGCTCGCACGTCTTCCCTGCCTCTGCCCGGACGGTATCTTCCCTTCCTTTAGTACGCACACTGTCCTCTGCAGAACTGGTTATCTGGACAATCTTTGCTGTATGCAGTTTTCTCTTCTCTCCTGGGTTCTCTTGTTATTCTGCAGGCTTCTGAAAACATCGCTATGGGGCTGGGTGAGAAGAATGAGGAGACCTGTGCCCGCACCAGGCAGCCAGTTCCGAACTTTCATTATCTGGGAAATTCAACATTAAAGCAAAGCTCCGGGCAAATCAAATCTTAACCCTTGCAGAGGAGCTACCCCAGCACTGCAGGGGTTAAGGGTTCTGTCTAGGGAGGAAAATAACAGAGATATACTGACCCGAACCACGATCCCAACTGGTTCCTACAGCGCTCCCTCCAGCCTGTCTCTTCCTCAAGTGATTTTTTTTTTAGCTTTGAATAGAGTAAGGGAGGGTTATGACCCCTTCCAACTTTTTGTTTTTGCCATCTGTGTCCTATTGGGCAGATTCTCCTTCAGTACAGTACTCCTTAGTTGCACTTTAAGGCCGGTATCATGCCTAGGCAGCATCGTTTTTGCATGTTTGTTCGCGCGGGTTCAGCATGCAGTTATTTGCACATTTTTACGCGTGAACATGAAGACGTATGTTTTGACTGGCAGCTTAAGAAACATTGCAGTCAATGGACGAACAAATGTACAAATGCGCAAAAACATACACAAAAATGTCCAACTCGCTTCTGCAGTGCATTTTCTGGCGTCTCTATGAGGCAAAAACGAGCTTGAAACTGCCAAAAAAAAGCTCATGTACTTTTTTTCTGCACTTGGCGTTTTCCTGCTCAGGTGTGAACAAGGGCCGTTGGAAATCATGGGATTTCTGGTGTTGGGTGTTTAACCCTTTCGCTGCCAAGCCCTCCGGAACATTTTTCAAATCATCTGGCCAAGCCATTTTTGAATTTTCTGCAATTTTTTACTATTGATTTGATTTTCAACTGCTGCGTTGCTAGCGTTTGTAAAAGACCCCCCAAACCATATATTTTCTGAAAGCGCAGGCCCGGTAGAATAAAAAGATGGTGATACTAAATTTGTAGGCCCAATTGCGCAAATGTTTCTCAAATTAATTTTAAACCGTTAAAAATATACAATTCAATTGTTAAAACACACCAAAATCAGTATCCGTGCACAAAAAAAAATATTTTCTGACTAAATCTAAAAGATAAAACTGTATTGAGTTAATAAATAACAAATATTAGCAAATTTGTAATTGCGCCTTTTTGCGAAAAGGTAAAAAAATGAAGGTACGCAAAACTGTAAATAATCGACTTATGTAAAAAATTGTTTTGGTGTTTGTGTTGTGATAAAATGATACAGGTGTATATTTAATTGCAACACAAGGTATCACAACGCATGGCAATGAGTCACAAAGCTTTGCCATGCGCTGCCACAGTTAATTTAATGTTTTTTAAAAAAGAAAATAAATAAGATCATGCACTGATGCGTTCTAACAACGCACTGCAGCGCATGTGCATGGTGTGCACCACAATATGTGTGAATGTATGTTATGTGGAGGGAGGGAGGGGTTGTGCTTATTTTTATTATTTTTTTGTACACATTTTTTAATTTTATTTTTTACATTTCTATTTTTAATTTTTTTTACATTTTCTATTTATTTTTTAATTTTTATTTTTTTACTGTTGGGGGGGCTGCGGCGAAATATCTGGGGTCTAAATAGACCCCTGACATTTCCCTTTTGAAATAGAAAAAGAAATTGAGGACATAAGTCCTCAATTTCTTTTTCTGCAGCCCCAGCACTCAATGAATGAGAAGCCTCAGTACAGAGGCTTCTCATTCATTCACAAACTAATGATAGTAAAAATATTTTACTATCATTAGTTTCTGAATGGGGAGGAGCCTCTGTAGTGAGTGCTAGTCCCCATTCATAAATTCTTGAATGAACAGGCTGTGATGTAGATCGCAGCCTGTTCATTCATAACTGGGGACACATAGTACTATATGTGTCCCCAGTTATTTACAAACACCGGAGATCAGACGATCACTCCGGTGTTTGCTCTGCACAGAGGGATCGTTAAATATCATTGATATTTAACGATTCCCCACTCGGCCACGCTACACAGAGCCGCTGTCATCCAAAAACTGACAGGATGACAGCGGCTCAGAACAGAAGACGCTCAGCCATCCTGAATTGCGGCCAGCCGCCGCTCGTTCCCGGGACCCCCCCGACGGTGATTTTTTAATGGATCCCCGCTGCCACAGACCCTACAAGCAGTGGGGATCCATGGAGTCCCTCATCCCTCCCTGGGATGGCTCCAGGGAGGGATGAGAGACTCCAGATGCCGGCGGCCGGCAGCCGGGGGGGGGGGGGCGCCCGGTATTTTTAAAATTAGCGGTCATCAGCGGCTTGTGAGCCGCTGATGACAGCTATTAATTTAAAGGGGACAGTCTGCTGAACAGTTCTACTATAAGCTGATGGTCGCTAAAGCGACCATCAGCTTATAGTAGAACTGTAAATGCCAGGTCCGTACGGCATACTGAGCTGGCCAGCTGGAAGCACTTTTGTAGCTCCGTATGCCGTACGCCCTTGGCAGCGAAAGGGTTAAAAGCGCTTTTCCGACTGCTTAAAAAGCCTAGGTGTGAACCAGCCTTAGGGGTTGATTTACTAAATAATGCTCACTTTGCAAGGAGGTTTTCCCTTAGCTTAGTAAATGTGGTGAAAAATCACTTTGCGCAGAATAAACAATTTAGAAGCAAGGAAAATAGGGAAAAAAATGCTTACACCTGATTAGATGATGGAAGTTTTTGTTTTAAATGAATATGTGGCCGAGGTTGAATTACTTCTTTCTTTGTGTTCTCTCTTAAGGATGAGTCACTTCCCAGTCCCCATGTATCTGCAGGAAGGAGATGACAGAAATGGTCTTCCGCAGAATCCAGTGGATCTCTTTGGTACCAATAAACTGGTGAAAATATGTGCACCAATGGTTCGATATTCCAAGTAAGGATCAGCATGCCTGGGGTTGATGTACTGACGCTTAGTGCTTTATTATTAATAAAGCAGGGGTGGGCAACTCCAGTGTTCTATCAAAATGTACAACTCGTCGAGATTGCCACCTCGTTTCAGCATTGCCAGTAGGAGATTTGGACATGATGGCGCTAGTGCAAGTGCACCAGCCGTGGCAGTTTTAGAATCCTCGTCGAGTTCTCCAATTTCCATCAGTGCAAAGTAAAGGCAGCCAATCAGGGAGCATCTTCTGCTAACAGATTTCATGTTGTGCTATCAGGTGGGCGCACTGGCGCAGTAATGTTAATTGGTGAATTTAATACTGGTCTTAGGTGGCCGCGCAGGCGCACTGATGGGAGCTGGAAGACTCAACGAGGGTTGTGAAGCCACGCAGGTACACTAACGGGAATTGGAGAACTAGATGAGGGTTCTGATGCTGCCACGTCTGGTGCACGCACACTACCGCCATCTTGCCAAAATCTCTTACTGGCAAGTCAACGGACATAGCGTAAGTTCGAGATCTTGACGGGATGGCCATTTCGACAGAACACTGGCCCTCCAGCTGTTGTGGAACTACAAGTCCTATGAAGCATTGCAACACTGACAGTTACAGGTATCAGCCCCAGAGGCAGAGGCATGTTGGGATTTGTAGTAAAACCACAGCTGGTGGGCCAGAGTTGTCAACCCCTGAACTAAAGTATTCTTTTTTTTTGTAGTTTTGGATGGAGTGGAGAGGCATTAGAATACCTGTCAGGTTTTTATTGCTATCTGTGTCTCCGTTAGGTCACTAAATATCTGTCGGTAGATCTAAAGGAGATTGTACAAGTAGATTGTAACGTGTGGTGAGCTTTAAGGTGATCCACCCTCTCTATTTGTCCTGGTGGCCGTTATCACGGAGAGTGAAAGTAAAATAAAATCCCAAATATTGAGTTGTCACCAGAATCATAATACAGGGGAAATCTTCGAGTGGGGGCACTAGTTCTGGTGACACTGCTGACCACCAGGGATTCCCTTTACTTTGGGGGATGTCCCCTCGCTTCCTGTTGTGGCTATGAGACAGGAAATTAAGGGAAATCTCCCCAATGGGACACAGAGGGCAGAAAACTGACCGGGGTTATAACCCTGCCTTACTCTATCCAAAATGGGAAAAAAAAGTTTTGGCTTTTGTAATGCTCTGGGCTACAAATCCCAGAGACATCAAGCTTATCCCAAGGATGAGCCCAGCTGTAAAGCTTGGCAAAACTTTCATTTCTATTTGTTGTCTGTTCTTGCAGTAAAGCTTCAAGGAAACTGACCCAGCAGCATTTAAAAGTACTTTACTTGGCGATTACTTGCACCCACTACACTATCTTCTAGTACATGTATGATTTCTAGGAGGGGAAACACTGGAAATGTACTTAGCTCCGGCTGCAGGCTCCACAAATTCCGTGATGAACAGGACTTCTTGGCATAGCAAAATGAACCCAGCTCTCTATCAACAAACAAACAAAACCTCCATCTCTATTGCAAATCTGTGTCTGAAAAAGTCCACTAAGATATATCGCAACACAGCTTTAGTTCCACTTTAACCACTTCAGCTCTTTTACCTTTTATACTACCTATGGACCAGAGCAATTTATATATTTCCACTATGTGCTTGTCCATTCAGACATAACATTGTCTTTACTTAAGATAACAAAGTTAGACTGGCTAAAGATGGTTTGAATTGTGGGCTACATGGCTGCTGAATACGATAGCTGGCACAGGGAATTCCCACTGTTTAGCATGGATGGAGGAAGTGATTGCTTTTTCTCTTGTTCAGCCTGCCAGACGAAGGAGAGAAAATTGATCCGTGTAAGGCTAGCTTAATACCAACATTGTTTTTAGGAGGACAAACTAAGCTTGTTTTTGGCAGTGCTTTCTTGCAAAAAATAATGTATTTTCTATATAATCTATAGACAAAAAGTTTGTGTTTAAAGGAGAACTATGAAGTGAGTGCTTTGCACTCAGCCTCATAGTTCTAGCCGACCTGTGACAATGAGACTGTCACAGGTCGGCTCAGTAGATCGGGAGGTGAGCGAACACATACCGGCGTTCGCTCACTTCTCGATCCTGTCACGGCGCTCTGCCGTGACAGGGGAGGGGCTGGATTCCCCCTGATCCGCCAGCGCTGACTGGTGGAACGGACCGGGCAGGGGGGCGGGTACAGCTGGCTCTGCCTCTAGATAGGCAGAGCCAGTTGTCACTCACGCAGCCGGGCGGATCCAGACATAATTGTCGGAATCCGCTCCAGCTGCGGCGTCTCAGTATACCGCGAGCTTTAGCTCGCGGTATTCTGCGGTGTCTCAGTATACCGCTAGCTGTAGCTCGCGGTATACTGAGCCTAGGGTGACTGGGAGGACGCTAGTTTGTGTCCTCCCGTTGCCCTAAGGAGAACTATGGGGAAAAGCCCTAACCCCATAGTTCTCCTTTAATTCTTCCATTTGTCCCATTTAACTTTTTTTGAAACCGGAGCTTTTTGATGCTTGGATGACCAGACAAAGTTTAGCAGCCTCTGTTATTTTGACAATAACTCTGGTTAACATCAAGCCTGAGAGCTAGGAACACACAGTTGTGCATGCCTAGTTTTCTGCTGCAAGGTTAAATAACAGCAAGGGGTTAAAGTGATACTAAAATGATGGTATAGGTACAAAGTATGTAAAAGTGAATTGCAAATGAAAAACTAAATATTAAAGGTAAATAAAGTAGGAATAAAAAATGTATATCTGCAGAAAAATAATAGCTATGGGGAGAAAGGAGTCAATTGTGCTGATTAGGGTTAACTAACAGGGTTATTCACAAAAGGGTGAAGAGTTTGGAGACACCAGGAGAAGGGAACAATCTAGGACAACATAGCTGAACCAGAAAGTGAGCAGAATTGGAGAATTTTTCCAAATCAGCTATGTTGTCCTAGATTGTTCACTTCTCCTGCCTTCTCCAAACTCTTCATCCCTTTTGTGAATAACCCTGTAAGAGTTAATAAGGTCACACCTTTGATCTACATATAAGTGACACAGTAAATACAATGTGACAATACTTTTTACATTGTATTGCTGACTATATGGAAGTGTAATGTTACCCAGGAGGCTGCATTTGACCGCTGTTCCTTCTATGTAATACATAGCAATTTCCAGCTGTCATTACGATAGCCAGTAGTTGCTGGTACAGGGGCAAGGGGAGCAGTGGTAGGGGGAGAGGAGCTGAATGTATGAGATGCGACCTAGAAACTTTGTTGAAGTTTTTTAGGATGTATGTCCTACATTTAAAATCCTCAGGTGATTAACTGTAAAGTTGATGTCGACTCCTGGTGACTACATGGATTGTGTTTCTCCAGAATGATGTATCTTCTGTTTGGGTCCTCAGTCTTCACAACAGTATGTTCAAAATTTCTATTGCTGTATCCCGCCATCTTATTACTAGTTGTCCTTCTTTGTTTCCAAGCAGAACTCTCTCTTCCAGTGAGTTGGTTCCTCTCATAATATGTCCACAATATGAAAGCTTCAGCGTAGTCATCTAGGCTTCTACTGAAAGGTCGGGTTTGAGTTTTTAAAGGATCCCTTTGTTTGTTTTCCTTACTAACAGCAATATTCTTAGAATACTTCCCCAGCACCAAAGTTCAAAGTCATCAATATGTTTTCTATCTAGCTTCTTAATTTCCTGCATTCACATCCATAGAGCATGATAGAAACTACCATAGCCTAGATATTGTCCAAGCGGAGTGTATATGCTGGTAATAAATAAATAATGGTGCCTTTGCTATATTGTTTAAAAGGGAATGCCAGAAAACATTGGTAAAACATGGTGGAGGAATACCAAGCTCCCACAAGAATGTCCCAATTTTGTTTATAGTGCTTGGTGGACTGAAGCCTTATTATAGAAATATGCATCTTTATGTTACCCAGAAGCACGGTTTGAAACCTCTTTCAGCAAGTGGATTGTTTTTAAACATCTGCTCACCATATCAAGTGTAGAGAAAACGTTATTTTCAAGTAATCTAAGTAATACTGAAGAAAGGTAAATATTTTTCTGTCTTTATTTGTTAAAAATTGTGTCTTTTTTTTTCCTGTTGCAGACTGGCTTTCAGGACCCTGGTAAGAAAGTATGGCTGCGATTTATGTTATACACCTATGATAGTTGCTGCTGATTTTGTCAAGTCTGCCAAAGCAAGACACAGTGAATTCACCACAAACCAAGGTACCAGTCTGAGCATGTACACTTTGCATATCTGTTATCAATTTGTAATTTGAAGTACCTTGGTCCCTCTTAAGACAGATGGTATTCACATGTCATCACCAGGGCCGGATTTACTCTCCATGCCGCCCCTAGGCCAGGTTCCAGTACAAAGAAGGACTGAATGTAGAGAGGGCAACTGCCCCCCAAAGAAACCGCTTCTGCCCCTCTGCGCCCTGCCGCCCCGAGGCTGTGCCTCGGTGGCCTTGTGGGGAATCCGGGCCTGGTCATCACTTCCATGGCAGATCCATAATTTAAGGAGATTATATCTCTGTTTAGGATGTTGGACAGAGCCAATTAAGTCATGCCTATGTGACCTACATTAAATCCACTTTTCCACAGGGACTCAAAGGCTGTGCCAGGCATATAGCAGGTGCAAACTAGAAAAAAACATGGTACCTGCATGAATCTATAACTAGCCTTTACGGCAGGGTGCACATTGGGAAGGCTTACAACAATACAAAAACACAAAAATTCCCCAGCCTCAACCTGCCAGCCAGCCTGCAACCAAATAGCCCTGTCAACAGTATGCGTTAAAATCAGAGGTTTTAGTTGCACAAACTTTTGGCCAAAAATATGTAGAAGCCACACCGCCGCGCCAAGGCACCTCTGCAAGGTGTGGTCCTAACTCTATGTATATGAGTCTCCAAGTGTGAGCATATTAATGAAGTCGATAAATTGCATACAGGTGTACCTGGAGGTAGCCTACTCCTCCTAATAAGGTGCAGGGACGCACTGGAGGCGTTATTGTTGTAAGCCTTCCCAATGTGCACCCTGCTGTAAAGGCTAGTTATAGATTCATGCAGGTACCATGTTTTTTCTAGTTTGACTATTTTTGATTGAGAGGACGCACTGGGGTCCCAGCGTGCATTTTAGGTTGCTGGGCCTCCAGTGGTGCCTTGGCGCGGCGGTGTGGCTTCTACATATTTTTGGCCAAAAGTTTGTGCAACTAAAACCTCTGATTTGAACGCATACTGTTGACAGGGCTACTTGTTTGGTTGCAGGCTGGCTGGCAGGTGAGCTGGGGATTTTCTGTGTTTTTGTAATATAGCAGGTACAGCTTGAAATACAGTGCTCTTTATCCACCTTGCATACAGATATTTTAAATGTGCAAGATATGGGCACAAGAACATTTGGAAGTTGTTTCCATATGTTATTCTGCTGTGAGATAACTTCCAAATATTTATACAAGTTGTTTTATATGTTTGGCTATAGCTAGTATAACTAAGCAGCACAGGTCATTTGGCCATCTGGGCATAAAGAAATGATTTGCAGCACAGGATACCACTGCAACCAGACATAGGCCACAAGCTCAAAGACCATATCAAGCCAACAAATCTTTAAACAAAGATACATTTGGTATAAGCTATATTTCTCTTTATAGCTTAATTTGCCAAACAGTATTTGTCTGGTCTGCAACTAACATTGTCTACACTAAACGTTTTCTTCTGAAAATGCTAGTTGCTTGGTTATGCTGACTTCCTAGGTTCAGTATACTTTAAGTCATTGGTCCTGAGGAATTATGCAGATCAGGAAAGAAATAGTCAGTAATTCTTATCTGCATACCTGTTCCAGGTGGGTGACCTAAAATTACTGGAGCAAGAGAGTCAATATTACAACCAGGAAATTAGCTTTTTCAGTAATGTTTTGTCAATAGCAGACGCCAAGTCTCTTTGCTGTAACCCTACATAAATTCTGCAGTGGATAAGATTATGTTACCAGTGATTTGTGTCAAGTATCTCAAATTTTGAGGTCATCTGTTTTTTTTTTTGGGGGGGGGAGAATAACAGACCTTCAGGTAAAACATAATATTAGGTCGTACATTAGTATAGTGATGAGCTATTTACCTATATTTTGAGTTTTGGATAACCTGCTTGAAAGTGAAAGGAATACTTTGTAAATGTTGTGCCTGTAGAAGTCTAGCCAGTCCCAGACAACAACATACTTCTTCATGTTTCAGACATAAATGTAACCAGCAGTATATAAAATGCAATTCCATCTAGCAGCTGGATGTCTGAATGCCAGGTCTTAGGTTTCAGCTACTGTACATTAGTATAAGTCTCATTGGTATAAAGCATTAGAAATAGATCCCTAAATGTTCTGGCAGTTGACGTTGTCATACCGGATGGTAGCTGACTGCTTTTGCTCCATAAATGGCTGTTTCTTACGGACACACATTTTACTTTATCTAGGAGACCATCCTCTTGTTGTACAGTTTGCTGCTAAAGATGCAAAGGTTTTAGCCGATGCAGCCCATCTTGTCTGTCCTTTTGCTGGTGGCATTGATCTAAATTGTGGGTGTCCTCAGAGGTAAGCTTGATCTTTCTACAGTCAGTTTAATCTTTAAATAGTATTTTGACTGAAAAAAGTTAGTTTCAACCTTGCTTTTCAAAAATATTACTGCGGTAAGTTTCTCCAGTCTTGGGCAATCAGGAATTTCGTTTTTTGGCTGAATGGCAGTGGCTGCTCTGAAGTAAAAGCTCTGTAGAGAATCACTAGCTAAGAGAGAAAGCTACAGATACAGTGAGAGTCATACCTATTAACATCCATTGACTACTTTCCTATGTGTTTCCAGCATTCAAAAGTGTTTCCAGCATTCAAAGTGACATTAAACCCTCAGATTTTGTAACATAAAACAATACTGTAATGTGTGCCTTACTGTAACCCATGGTTGTAGGACAGAGAAGAGTTGCAAAGTGAAGGTTAGAAATTAGATAGATTAGCATGTGTCCATAATGGCTGGACATAGTTACTCTGCCAAGACCTTCCATCTTTGGAGAAACAGAGGCTTTTAATCTGCAATACTGGACAGTTGCCATATAGGAGCTCCTAAAACATCTTACATGTTTACTCATTAAGAATTTGCACAAGTAGCACACGGACAATTGCACATTATTTTTTGTTTTTTTTGGGACACCTTATCAGCTTGGCTGCGAGCTCTGTAAAATGTTTGGAGATTAACAAGGGTTTGATTTGCTAAAGGTAAATAGGCTGGCCACTTTGCAAGGGAATTTTCACTTCACAGAGGAATTTCATTATTACCATAGCGAATGATGTGAAGCTCTACTGACTTCCATCATCCAAACTCAGCTCAGGATCTGGCAATGAAGAAAAAGATTGTAAATGCAGGCAGGTATGATGCAAACGTATTATGAGTTCAGTCAAGAACCCCATATGCAAAAGAAAGATGAGCATCATGAACCAAAGTTCAGTTAGGGTATCCTGGCAGGAGATAAGTTCAGAGGTTTACAGGGTAGATGTTAGTTCCAGACTGTGGGATTTAGTCCATTTTCGACCTGACTGATGTTAAATCTTTGTTGTATTTCTTTTTTCTTTCAAAGTAACATTCAACCTTACTACTTGTCATAGGGTGAAAAGCAGTGTGGGATCCAAAACTATTATTACTTGCATTACCTGAATGCTCCAAACTATTTCTGACAATAACCTCCTGGCAATAGCCTGGGCTGTTTCTTTTCTAACTGGCCACGCCTCTATCCACCTAGGAAAAGCAACACGCACACAAATGCATACTCGTGCAACTTACAATAGGGAGTTGTATGAAACCAATCTAGCCTTTTGGAAATGGTACAGCGATTTTGGCAAATGTTTCTGAGTTGCTTTTACAGGTTTTCCTGCATTAAACCTTGTCAAACATAATTGGCAGTGGATGGCTGCAAGAAATGTAAACCTCAGACTGTAGCAATGACACTTTATCACAATCAACCGTCTCTTCTTTTGACACTTGTGCAACACAGAATGACACAGCAGACAGGTAAAGAAATATAGACCTGGGCAAAATCCATCAGCATGCTTCTAAATTGGAATTCCAAATACTTCTAAGAATGAACACCCCTCCTTTTCACATGATCTTCCTTCAGCTGCTGAGGTGGATGAATTAAGATAGGGAAAATTTCCAAGGAACAATCAATCTGAGTGATGTTGTGCACTGGAAGGAGTGGATAAGGAGGCTCCTCTGGTGATGGTGTAAGTGCTGTCTGCTGGAAATGTTTGCTGTATATTACTTAACCAATTTATAGGCTTCCGTGAGGGCAGCTAACTTGGCAACTTGAGCAAAGTGCCAACTTGGAAGGTGGCCCGCCATCGCCACAGCCTGGCTATCGACAATTATATCAGTCATGTGAGGGGTGCCCTGGTCATTGTAGGCTCTAGAATATTCTGTGAAAAATGTCAGTTTGGATGTTGCACCTGAGAAATACCAAGCTGAGGGGTGCCAGAAGGGCAAGTTCATGCTTGGTTAGTCTTATTGCAGACAGACGCTCCATGTTTGTATTTAACAGCTAACTAGCTACTGCCACCACCCAAAGGCAAGGAGGTAGGGTAATGCTACAGGATCCAGTTGTGAGCTATAGCAGCCAAGGGGTTTCTGCTTATCCCCAGCTGAGGTATGGTCACCTGCTTCATGGCAACACAGCGGGGAAGGCCTAGTGAAGTGTGGCTTAGTGGCATTAGTCACCTAATAAATATATGATGTAGATGATGTGGGGAATCCACTGATGGTAGGCCACTTGGGGGATCGAAAAGAAAGCATTAGCTAGATTGATTACAGTGAAAACCTTTGCGCTTTTTAGAATCCCAGGATTCAGTGTATGGGCACCAGACACTACTCCACAAGGGTATTGTATCACTTGATTCAACACCCTCAAATCCAGCACAAATCTGTAAATATGTTTGAAGAACAATACAACAGAAGACAGGGTGCAAAAGACCTAAGTGCAGTAATAAACATGTAAACTTTAATTTTTAACGTTTTTTTGGCCATCATATGCTGACAATGCAGAGCCGTGCTGCAGCTGGGAATCCATCTCGCTTCCTGATTGACAGCTGGCTCTGCTGCCCCTTCCCCTGTCTGACCCTCCAATGAGCACTGGAGGAATAAAGGTGGGGGGATGCCTGCGGGGAGCCATGACAGACAGTCACCAATCTCTTCAGGGAGAAGCTGTGAGGTGAGCTATCAGCAGATTGTGATCACTTGGTTCCCGAGCTGTACAGCCGACATGTAACCGCTGCAGTGTCACCCCAGCTCAAGCTATTGGGAAGAGTAAATTTTAGTCTCCAAATAATTCTCCTTCAATACAACAGAAATTACATCAAAAAGCCACCAGGGGGAGACAACATATAATACAATGTGACCAATATGTCTAACATGTAGCCAGTAAGAGCCAATTAATATACAGGGGCCCAATAAGTTAAAATAATGTCTGGTAAGAACTCTGGAACTAAGATGTATATATGTACACATAGTAGCAAATAACCTCAGTAGATGGATAGATAGATAGATAGATAGATAGATAGATAGATAGATAGATAGATATAAATGTAGGTAACAGCCATTTATGGTGCATAATATTTATTCTTCCGTTCTTGAATTTTGAACTAATTGATTTAATTACATTCAATGTTTTGATGACAGTCTTTGGTGAAGAGTATTTACATATTTATTTAATGTTCTACCTTTTTTGTAGAATATTTATTTACTGTTAATGTACATATCAGCATTTCATGTTAAATGGTTCATGATACCCCCCTCCCCCCCGCCATGCCCCATTGTCACTCCTAGCCCCTGCTTAGTCTTTTTTTAAATGTCCCCTGTACTGTGCTTTTGCTTTCTGGGATATTTATTTTATATTCTATTATGGACCTTTTGGGTAGTGTATACTGCTCCTTATTAATATGGTACCACCCACTCATTTACTGGCTGCTGTAAAAAAAAAATCCCCAGATCTAGTATACCGGCCTGACAAAGGGGTAGGAGCCCCCGAAATGCGTAATCTAGCACTTCTACTGCTACTCTGCTAACAAGACCGGTTTGCTCGATCTGAGTTGTAAAGACGCTTGAGGACATTGCTTTATGCCAGACCTTGGCAGGTCCATCGGTTTCACACCACCTAGACAAGATCCATCTCTTGTTTTTACATACAGCCTTCTCACTTTGAGTAACTCCAAACTCAGCATACAGTGGGCAGAAGCGCAGAGCCGTGCTGCACTTTGCTACCTGATTGATAGCTGACTCTGCCTCCCTAGAGGCAGAGCCAGCTGTGCCCCCCATTTCCCCTGTCTGTCCCTCCAGTCAAAGCTGGAGGAACAGAGAGGGGAGGGGGGAATTCCTGCAGGTAGTGGTGACCAACAGTCATTGCTCTCTGCAGGGAGACAATTGTGAACTGAGCGATCAACGGTATATGATCACTCAGTTCTTGATCTAGAGAGCCGGCATGTGACAGCTTCAGTGTCACACATTAGCTCTAATGATTGGGCTGCGGTTATTTCACCTATCTCATATTTATGGATTTCACTTGACATGTTTTGGTTTTGAATCTCTTTTGACCACTGTTCTGCATGTTTCCTGTTTGTTTTGTGACAAACCCCTGCAGTGCAAACTTAATGTTGGATTGTAATCCATCATGGGAGTGAGCTTGGAGCTACTTTACAGCACACACAGGGACCATGGGGAACAAAAGCAGTCGCCCTCCAGAAGGAAGGACAGTGTCAGCGCCAATTCAGAGATGATTTGAGGATCTACAGCTGAGTGATACACATAGAAGTTACATTTTTGTTAATGGTTAAGGTACTTGAATGTACTAAGATTTAACTCCTCCTGTTTGTCAGGATGCAGAGGTTGGGGCCTAATTCTGTGTGTAGTGAGGAGAGCAAGTGTGTCCAGGAGGATGGGAGCAAGCTGTTATAGACACAAGTGGCCAGGTCTTGGCAGGACAGAAGAGAGATTTTGTACGTAGAGGTATTCCATAGCAGAGTAGAAAAGAAGATTTAAAGTGGTGAAGGTTTTTACGGGTAACTGTTTGATGGTATGAGAGAGAGGAGGTTGGAGACCGGGAGAGCGTGAAACTGATCATAAGGTTCTGATCAGACATAATGCAGTTTGCTTTGAATTTCTTCCACTGTGTATTAGATCTTTCAGGTGCTCAGTATAACACCAGCCTATCTATGCTTTATTGGGAGAGATAAAAGGGAATGACCAGACATTTTGAAATCTGACTGATGAGGAATGATTGATTGCTCTGGAATTTGTTAGCAGGATGACTTATTATTTTAATAATACCTATGTTTGCTACTTGATTCCATTTAATGTCTAATATCACCAAGATCCCTACAAAAGTTTGATGTTGGGTTCATTTGCAACCACTTGCCTCCAGTTGTGTTTTACACCTTTTAATACTTTGCTCTATTCTATCATACGTATTTTGTGCATAACAGTATTGTATTTTTCTTTAAAAGGTGGGCAATGTCTGAAGGCTATGGGGCTTGCTTAATAAACAAGCCTGATTTAGTCAGCGATATGGTTAGACAAGTACGAAACAGAGTCGAGAATCCAAACTTTTCAGTGTCAATCAAAATAAGGTAATGTTTGATTTCCATACTGCTGTATTCTATTATTGTCTGTACACTTTGTGTAATTCTCTGACCTTAGACCCCTGTTGCATTTAAAACCAAGTCACTTATTAGTAGAGTGTGTTGTCTTAGCACATCTTTGTTTTACCCTGCCAGCAGTGTAGGCAACCCCTTTTTTTTTATACCCAGTCTCTTCCCTACGTGATAGAGGATACATGTGTAATTTGCAGACTCCATTCACACTTGGTATTGTCAATTTGTCTCTGGCAGCTCATGTGGTAATGCTTTATAGAGATCATAGAGAAGCAGTTTGGTGAAACCTGTTAGAGTTGGAGGAGCCTGTGAGTGTTTACAGCATGTTTTCACTTCGACAATAAACCATATCCAGTTTGTGAGGACATTGATTCTGTGAGAGCCAGTATCAAGCTGCAGCGTGCTTTTCTTGCCTGCACCAACAAGAGGGATGGGGCTGTTATAGAGGCAAGGAATATGAGCGGTGGCTGCTTTGTGACCTCCACTTTTCCAGTTTTTATTGAAATGTACGGTTTTATGTCTCAATGTATTCTGAAAATAAAGCGTAGAACAAATAAACAATTGGACATCCAAAAGAAATCATGGAACTTTTTTCTTTAACAAAATGTAATCTAAATCTTTGATTCATCAGTAGCCACCTTTTGCAGATATAACAGCCAAACGCACTCGTGGCATTCTTTCTGCAACAGAGATCAAGTATTGTTCGGAAAGTTCTTCCCAACACTGTTGCAGAAGTTCCCACAAATGCGTTGCACTTGAAGGTTGCTTTGCTTTCACCCTTCTGTCCAGTTCATCCTAAATCAGCTCGATGGAGTTTAAGTTTGGAGACTGTGCTGGCCATTCCATGATTTGAAGCCTACCATCTTCTTCTTTTCTTCTAAGGTAGTTCTGACACAGGCTGGAGGTATGTTTTTGGTCATTATCTTGCTGTGGGATGAACCCCTGACCAACTAGGCATACAAAAATACTGTGGTGGTAGTTTTGGTTCAGGGTGCCACTCACTCTGTGCAAGTCGCCGACTCTCCCCAGACCATCACGCTTCCTCCTCCATCTTTGACAGTTGGTGTCACACACAAAGGAGCCATCCTTTCGCCTACTCAAAGGTGTACAGAAACCCTGCAGGATGAACCAAAGATCTAAAATTTTGATTCATTGGTACATAAGACCTTCTTCCAGTCTTCAGTAGTCCACTGGCAGTGCTTCATGGCCCAGGCAAGCCTCTGTTTCTTATTTGCCATCTTAGCAGCGGCTTTCTTACTTTCACTCGACCTGTCAAACTTGCAGCTCGAAGTCTTCTCTTCACAGCTAAAACTGAGACTTGTTTCCTTCGATCAGTGTTAAGCTGTGCTTGAAGCTGTTGTCCTGTGAGCCGCCTGTCACACAAGTTGTTGACTCTCAGAAACTTGTCTTCTGATTCTGTTTTGGATTTGGGTCTGTCAGACCTCTTACTGACACAGTTTACTCCAGTTTCCGAGTGCCTTTTGATGGTGTGGGAAACTGTACTCGCTGACACCTTGGCTTTCTTTGCAATTTCTCTAAAGGAAAGACCTAGACTTTTAAGGGTTATGTTTGTCTTCCTTTGTTAATTCTAGAGCAAACTTCAATGCTTTGATATCTTGATTTTATGGTGGGACATCACCACACATGAATGATTCCTTTGTTAATTGCCTTTTTCTTCACATTTTGAGAGCAATATACTACTTCTTGCAGTACAATACAATCTAAATATTGCTTAAGAGGGGTGTAGTAACAGTCTCTTCCAACACTGCTTTTATGCAGACAGAGGGCTTGTGAGTAATCATCAAAATTTGGGACACCTGCAGGAGTTGTTAGCATAAACGTTCAAGGATTCATTTACTTTTCTGCAGAACAATGGTGAGTTGTTAACCCATTACTTCCCCCCAAATGTCCTTGTTGTATAACTATGAAATGTACATTACTTTTCAGTTTTTGTTAATCTAAACTCTTCTTTTTTTTTTTTGCCCCTCTGGAAGCTTACCGCTTACCTTTGTACCATTCCAGGTTATTCACTGGACTTGAACTGCATACATTTCAATAAAAACTGGAAAAAAGGTGGTTTTGACAGGTAGTGTACATATACTCTGCAAAGTCTAGAAAGACAAAATCAACTGGGTTCCCCTGTCCACTTTACAACTTAATTCCTCATAGAATGTTAACGGCCTTTCATAAATCCGTGTTGGTTTGTACTTATATTACTATTCACACATGCAAATTTTAGAATATAATCCCTGACCATTCCCTAAAAACCTTGCATATTACTGATTTAAGGCTGACTGGCCTTTAGTTACCTGGTATACACCTTTCTTCAATATCGGCACCACATTCGTTTTCCTCCAGTCCTCTGGTACCTCTTCCGTCCTCAATGTGTCCTCAGAGTTGTATGTGTATGAGCCACTTAAAGTAAGCAAAATAATGCATTGTTCCCAACAGTTGTCCTTTCTTATATATCTAACCCTCCAGAACAACATGCTTCATTTAGAATGTAGAATCTAGTAAGCATTTTGGAAGGTCATTTTTTTTCCCCAGTTGTCTTTTAGGACAGCTCTAACAACCCTAACGGAAAACACCACCATACAAATCTTTAAAAGGAGGATGCTTTCTAGTTTTAAAATCTTTCCTCCGAACAGACAGGTAACCTGCAGAGAACATAAATCCTTCTCTGACCCCTAGGCATCCCTCAAAGGGGCAGGGCATTTACTGGAACTCTCTCATTCTTTTGTGTTAAGGAAGAGCCAGGACTGCCCAGTGACTTGCTGGTCGTTGGGGAGCTAGGAGCTCTAATCCTCTCCATGCTGTGTTCAGCATCCATCTTTCAAACTGCACTACTTCCAGGAGGGGTGTGGCATCTGGACAAGTACTGTAGTCATATCAGTTCTGGCCTCTGGAACACAGGGAGGGGTTGCATTTCCTCAAAGTTTTTCCTGGGCTTGTTTGGGCACAATGACTAAAAACTAAAGTAGAAAGTAAAGTTCCTATGTTGAATGCAACCTTTTCTCAAGTTTCCAAGAGCACTGATTTAGCTTTTAAAGGATAAAATGTTCCATGGATAAGACCAAAGACACCCTTTTTAACCAAGTCTGGATGTCTACCACTTTGAACGTGTGATGCCAGAATCTTAGAATACTGGCTTTCACAGATAAAAGGGTCACATTAATGTAGACATGCCTAGGAAGCAGAAATTGGATGTATTCCCTACCCTAAAGTAAGATAAATAACTGTAATAATAGCCAGATAACTCTTCTTCCAAGGTAAAACTGTGTGGTATTCTTTTTGCCAGTGAACGTCTGTTAGGTCTTGATCAAGAAGCAGTTTTGGATCACATGGTTGATAAAAAGAAAGCATTCCTCCTGCCATGAAAATTTTTTTTTTTTTTGGATTATGCGCTATGAGGAACTGACGGCTTCATTGCATGAGCGTCAGGCGCAATGTGCAGTGCTGTGGACCCCTTGGATTCTCAGCATGGGTACGGCGGATTTCCTGGCCTTATAAAGGGCCCGGGTTTCTCCTGTTGGACGAGCACTGGGATACTGTCTCTACTGCACCTACCTAATACCACTGCGGTCCTAACCGAAATGCTGGATCCGATGGAGCTTCCCCTCCCCCCTGTGTTTTTCCTGTGATGTCCATTCCTGTATGTCCCTTTCTCCCCAGTTGTGAGTCCCATGTGTGCCTAACCCCCGTTTGTCACTGTATGTTGTCATATGCTGTCTGGTTCGTTGAGAAGCAACACGGCCGTATCCTCTGCATGCACGCACTCCATGAGAGGGGTGCAGTACACAAAATAAGGCGCCTGCCTTTTGATCTGTGCGACAGCCCCACTACGTTATCTGCAATGTGGTTGCAGATAACGTAGTGGGGCTGTCGCACAGAGTATGCGTTGAGAGAGCACATGCATATATGCCCGCTGCGCATGTTCTAAAGAAATGGAATGTGAATACATGCAGTGGGACTAGGTGGATGACCGTACGTGTTTCTATTATGTTCCAGTGTTCTTGTATTTTTGTACTTTGTCTATTGCAAAATTGAAATAAAATCTTATTATTTAAAAAAAAAGAAAAATTATTTTTTTGAGCTTCCAGGGCTCAAGTGCAAACAAACTACAAGGACACTGGAAGCTACAAACAAGGAATTCTGGACAGCTCAGAAGTCCATGGACAAAAAGGAAGGTTTCTATACCATACTCCTGAACAGCCCAGAAACCTATTATTTCAGGGGATAATACAGGGTTACAGGTTGGAGTTTTTAAACGTAGCACCCTCAATGTTCTTCATCACAAACCTTTCCAAAGAACAAAAGGAACATGGTTTCACTCCCATGCAGTCAACATAGGGCAAAACCTTGGGAAAGTTTCACCAGATCCTAAGCACAAAATACCTAAACAAATCCATCACCTTATGAGAAACTTTGTATGGATCCAATTTTCTGCGTAAGAACAATCATTCCACTAATTTGCTTAATGGAATCAATAGACTTAAAGGATACATTTTTGTTATCTCTTGATAAGACAAGACTGGCAGAAGTACCTTTTGTTTAGCAATGAGAATTGGAAGTACTGTCACTATTTTACAATTCAGAGCTCTTCTATTCGGCCTTTCATCAGTTTTAAGACTTTTCACAGAGGGTCATGGTAAAAGCTGTAGCACCCCTTTTATCTTGAAGGAATACCCATCATCTTGTAACTATGTGACCTATTGTTATTTGCAAGGCTTGAAAAATAGCTCCGAATTGATTTCCCAGTAATTTTAAGACTTAAGCTGACCATAAACCATGTAAAAATGAGTTTGAATGTTTTCGGAACATTTGTTTGATTTGCTAGTAATTAATGAGGTCGATGTCGATGATCGATTTTGACTGTAGTAACGGAACAAATAGAGGGAGCAGGATGAAAAAATGTCTCTAATGAACACAATGCTATCAATGAATGCGGTTTATGTGTGGGGAAACTCCATTCGTTCCAAAATCTAATATTAAAATCAACCAAATGACATTTGTCTAGTCTTTGATTACATTATCAAAAGCTGTGATGAGATTTTTTGTTTGTATGAATGATCATACAAAATCTACCAGTGTATGGGCAGCTTTAGTCATATTTGCAGTTATTTTCATATTCAGTTAAAAAAGTAATATTTTTGTCACATATATATGGGGACCTGTAGGACAATGCTCATGACCTTAATGAAAAAAAGATGTTTGAGATGACATGATGGTAGCCAAATGTATTCACAATGGTGATATGTGTGATTTTGTTTTAGGGTTCATGCAGACATTACCAAAACAGTAGACCTTTGTCAAAAGGCGGAGGCTGCGGGTGTGTCTTGGATTTCAATACATGGGAGACTTCCGGAAGAAAGACATCAGCCTGTGCATTATGATGGGATAAAAATTATTAAAGACAGCTTGTCTATACCTGTTGTAGCCAATGGAGATATTAAAAGTTTAGAAGAAGCAGAGAAAGTTCATCATATTACAGGAGCAGACGGTAAGATTGAAATTCTACCCAAAAGATCATACAGTCAAGTGGACAACATGGAAATTGTTACATAGTATTTAAGGTTGAATAAAGACACAGGTCCATCAAGTTCAGTCTGTGTGTGTGTGTGTGATCAGTTAATATTTTTGCTACATTTTTGAACAGGCAAATATTAGATCTTTAGTCAAGCAGTGGCCACATATAAAGGTGATATATTTGAATTAGGGCTGCAGCTAACTAATCAGTTAGTTAGCCGATTATTAAGTTTGATTAATCGGTTAATCGGATTTTTAAAAAATGGCTCCAGTGATGGACTACTAGTTTGTATTGAGATTGTAGTCCATCATGGGAGCAAGCTTGGAGCGGTGGAAATAAAAAAAAAAGTGTGTTGTGCAATATAGTACATTATACAGCGTCGCAATGCAGAATACCAGCAGCTATAGAGGAATACAACAAATCGCAGCAATAGTCCATTGTACTATAATGTTCTATTGCTGGGATTTGTAGTCCTCTATAGCTGGTGTTATTCTGCAGTGTGCTGTATAATGATTCTACGGTGCAATGCAGAATACCAGCAGCTATATAGGAATACAGCAAATCGCTGCAATAGTAAATTATACTATAATGTATTCTTGCTGGGATTTGTAGTCCTCCTGTAGCTGGTGTTATTTTGCGCTGTATAATGTACTATTGCTGGGAATTGTAGTCCTCTATAGCTGGTGTTATTCTGCAGTGTGCTGTATAATGATTCTACGGTGCAATGCAGAATACCAGCAGCTATAGAGGAATACAGCAAATCGCTGCAATAGTAAATTATACTATAATGTATTCTTGCTGGGATTTGTAGTCCTCCTGTAGCTGGTGTTATTTTGCGCTGTATAATGTACTATTGCTGGGATCTGTAGTCCTCTAGCTGGTGGTATTCTGCATTGTGCTGTATAATGATTATACGGCGCAATGCAGAATACCAGCAGCTATATAGGAATACAACTAACGCCAGCAATAGTACATTATACATACAGTGTATAATGTATTGCTGGGATTTGTAGTCCTCCTATAGCTGATGGTACATATACAGCACAATGTACCATCAGCTATAAGAGGACTACAAATCCCACTGCCCCAGCAATACATTAATACAGCACCATGGGGGGGAGAATGCAGGCTTACCTGAGCAGCTTGTGGGCCTGTCTGGCAGCTGCCTTCCCCCATATGCCTGCTCTTCCTTTATTGTGCCGATCGTGAATGGGCGGGCAGCTGTGAGTCCGTGAGGTGTGGAGATGCGGCTTGCAGGGAGGAGAAGCGGCGAGTCCATGTGACGGGGAGGAGTCGTGGGGAGACGTGTTGCGTGGCGGGAGGGCCCAGTCACACTATCAAGAGTGCTGCGAGTGAGGGAGCATCGACATGTGCGGTGGGCGTGGCTTCTGCGTTGTGTCCGGCAGGCACGGCGTGTGACGTGCGGCTCGGGTCATGTGTGGAGCCCCGAGCAGGCTAACCTATCGATAGCCGACTAATCGATGATGGTAAACATTGAGAACGTTTTCCATTGTCGATTTTAATCGACGTAATCGATCAACTGCTGCAGCTCTAATTTGAATTAAAAATCCCTCTGCTGCCGCTCCCTGTCCAGGGGCGGAACTACCGCCTGGGCCAGAGGCTGTGGGGGCGCCCAGTGAGGTCGTGTCCTGGGCACCCACCTGGACCATTGTTTACATTTTGCTGCCAACCTGTGGAACCTACCCGCCGGCAGCAAGATGTTAACCAATAATTTTGTTAGCAACTAAATAAATGTCATTGCTAACAAACCTTTTTTAGTGTGCATTAAGCAACTAACACATTCTTAGAGTGCATCAAGCCGCCTTGCTCGAATGTTGGATAATAGGGAGTTTACTGTATTTAGTACCAAGTGTATTTAATTCATGCATTCTGCCATTTTCAGTTACTGTGGTCTTATTTTCTACAACAGGTGTTATGGCAGCCAGAGGCCTCCTGGCTAACCCAGCCATGTTTGCAGGCTACGAGGAGACTCCACTAACATGTATTGCGGACTGGGTTGATATAGCTCTGGAACATGGAACGCCTTTCACATGTTTTCATCATCATCTCATGTATATGATGGAAAGAATAACTTCAAAACAAGAGAAGAGAGTTTTCAATGTTATTTCTAGTACATCAGCAGTTTTAGATTATTTAAAAGGCATGTATGGGGTATGATAATCTATCCCTTGCTTTTTTATCCTTTTAGAATTATTGACTTTTTACTTTTTATATTGTTTCTGTACATTAATACCTGTTTTTTATTACATACATTATAAATCCTAAAGGACTATATATTAAGGTACAATAAACATAAAACAAAAACTAGTATTATGCGTACTTGTATTTAAATGTAAATTATGTTAAATGTGTTTCAAAGATAAATTGATTCTGATGGCAAAACGGACAAAGTTCTGTTCACCTTTTATTAAAGTTAATCTCTCACCATAACTTTTGCTTTACATTTTGCATATAGTAAGGATGAGTTAGTAGTTTTGTCAGGTGACAAACGTCCTATGTTGTTTCCCATAATTCCCTGTCCTGGTGACAGTCACCACGACAAATAGAAACATTGAATCTCCCATTTTAGAAAGGTGTATATAAAAGACCTATTATTAATATTCAGGAGTATGTACACCAGGCCTGGACCAATTTACTGTATTTATTATTGGTGTTTATATAGCGCCGACAATTGACATAATGTACAATTACTTCAGCATCAATTTCTCCAGGAACCAGGCGCCTGCTTAAAAGGTTAGGAGCCAGCAAAATGCAGTCAGTGGTCTTGGTTACCAGTTATATCCAGGACGATTTTATTGTCACAGTAATATACAGTATATGTGTGTTAGTGTATCAGTAAAACAGCCTCCTCCCAGAACACACTGGGAAGTGTTGGGCATGACACTGGTGATTACAGAGTATACAGCAATAGTCCAGCCACTGAATGAAATGTGCTAACAAACTAGAAAGTATTGTGCATGACGCCAAGGATTATGTAGTATAAAGCACTAGCCTAGCCAAGGAAGTGTTGGACCTGATGCTAAAGAATTTAGCATATAAGAAGTAATGAGACTAGTATGAACAATAGCAGCATACCAGGAAAGTAATGGACCCATTATAGAATTGTATTATTGAAATAAAAGAATATGAAGCACCAGAACTGTCACTGAAGGTTATGGAGTATAAAGCACAGATGCAGAAGTGTAGTGTACTAATTGTATGGCTCCTGGGACACAGTGGTAAGTACTGGCACATGGTCCCTCCGGTAAGTAGTGTATAATAAAGCTGTAATGAGGAGATCTTTGTAGTCACATGATAGAAACCGGAAGTGGAAGTGATCAGCACATTGTAACCACAACTGACCAATCAGGAGCATCATGCTTCTAGGCAGGAGGCAGAGCCAGCGTTGCGGGGAGGAGAGCTCGGCCTCCTGTGACACGGCTGACAGCTGACTCCTCCCCTGCACCACTGGCTCAGCCTCCTGTGACAGCTGTCTCCTCCCCCGCACTGCTCGCCATCCTGATTTGTTGTCACAGGAGGCTGAGGGGGCGGTGCTGTGACACTGCCGCTGATGTCGCTCTCCTCCCCACCCTGCTCCTAAATGTTTCTCTTCTCCCCACTGGGCACTGCTCTGTGTCAGAGGGATAAGATCAGCACCCAGCAGGGAGGAAAGAAACCAGGCATGCACCACCGACATGTTTTGGCGGCCGACATTTGTGCATCAGTAGTTAATATGACAACAAATAAAGACTTCTGTGACCAGATTGCTAGACAGTGATGACCTTTTTAGGATTTGTGCAGTTCTGAGGTATGCATTAGGTTACATATATGTATACACATTAACATATATAGCATAGCTCTAACATATCCTAAGTAATGATATATAAAAAAGGAAATGTAATGTATGCAAAGTAGTACTAAACATGGTTCTAAATATATAATCATCGTCATTTCAAGAATAGTAACATGGAATTAAAGTACAAAAAAATGCGCAAAGTGTTGAATTGTCATAATGGATAGTGGTGCTGTGATTGTACATATAATGCTTTTAATCCCCATCATTCCTCATCTATTGCCCCACTTCCCAAAAACATCAGATTGGCATTTTTGTTCATCAGATGCATTTGTTTGTCAAAAATATTTGTCGGGTATGAAACCTGCAGCTATATTATTGCCATAATTGTCTGAATTTGGGCCAAGGAGTGGAATGTGAAGCTGCTGCTTACACAATGACCTAATAGAAAGTATGGTGTTTTAAGTTGATTTCAACAGATTCTACATATAATGTTCATTCATAAATAGGATAATACTACTGAATAATACATAGGAAAACAATCTGAAAAAACAAATGAGTGATGAGTGGATTGTGTAAATGCACGCATCCCATTCACAATGTATTCAAACACTTTACTTATCACTCTACTTAAAGGATTTTCTATTTTAGGTTGTTTTCCTATAAAGAAGAAAAGTGACAGCTAAAAAATGTTGTCTTCTCAATGCCACATTAGTTCAGGGTACCTGCCAAATATGCTCTAGTCTAGTGTCATCTCGCTGAGCGGGCCCAGTCTCTTAGTCAGCCTTGGCTTGGGATAGGTGTCAAACTGTGGCGAGTCTCCCCAATGGAGATGCAGACTGAAGTACTAACCTGACAGTGGGTACAACCTTTCCCCACTGTCCAAAACTTAAAAAAAAAAATGTTGCCTAGAAATATGTTTTTTTTGGCGGGGGGGTATTTACATTATCTTTTAATAAGCCATGAAACAGCTTATGTGGGTGCATTCCATTTGACAATGAAAACTGGGACCGCAGGTTTCCACAAAGCTGGGGCTCTTTCTTGACGAGGCAGGAGCTGTGAGTCCACAAACTTCTGATCTGCTTTGCGCTGCTGTGTCACTATATTTCTCCTGTGTCAAAAAATTCTCCCTCCTAGTGCTTGGGCTTGCGCAACTATTTGAAGTAAGCGTCAGTTAAAGGAGAACTATGGGGTCAGGGCTTTTCCCCATAGTTCTCCTTAGGGTAATGGGAGGACACAAACTAGCGTCCTCCCGTTACCCCTAGCGTCCTCCCGTTACCCTTACCCTAAGCTCAGTATACGTGAGTGACAGCTGGCTCTGCCTATCTAGAGGCAGAGCCAGCTGTATCCGCCCCCTCCCCCGTCCGTTCCGCCAGTCAGCACTGGCGGATCGGAGGGGGGAATCCAGCCCCCCCCCCCCCCCCCCCCCCCGTCACAGCACAGAGAGCCGTGACAGGATCGAGAGGTGAGCGAACGCAGGTATGTGTTCGCTCACCTCCCGATCTACTGAGCCGACCTGTGACAGTCTCATTGTCACAGGTCGGCTAGAACTATGAGGTGAGTGAAAAGCACTCTCCTCATAGTTCTCCTTTAAGTGTTTTGAGACCTTGACACTGGAAACATCACTGTTAGTTGAGGTGGCAATGACAAATCTCTGATGTTCTCTCCTCAGAGGAACTCTGTTGATGGCAAGAGGGCCTGTGACTAACAGGAGACCAGTCTGAAGCTGTTTCAGGAAGACAACACACTTGCCCCTGTGACGTCCGTTAAGAAGAATCTGCACAGTCCCAGGAGTGATGCTGGAACGCAGATGGCGCTTGTGCTGGCTGAATGGTTTCTTTCCATGGCTCAAAAGTTTAGGTGGAACATCTTCAGTGGAATAATAACGTGGCATCTTGCATAGCTTAACCACACGGCTGCCACCATTCTTATCACCACCAACTGTCTTATTTACTGTGGCGGGGGCCTTCTCTTTCTTCTTTTCAATCTTTGTCGCTGGAACCTTATACTTGCGCTTGTACAAGGCTTCCCTTGCAAAACATGGCAGAACAAGAATATTTCCCAATTCCACACGCCAGCACTGGATTGTGGCTGGCATGATGTCTCCTGACCTTTTTCTCAGCCTGCCATCTTGGCATATGCTTTTAAGGCAAGCATGTATATTGTGGTTTGTATTAATGTCAAGTTTATTCACACGTGTGCACCCAGCAGTTCTGAAACTATATATTTGTTTTGTTGCAAACATTTTCTTGCCCATTATTGTTGAGCAACAGGTAGGTTTTCCGTTATTTAAACTTTATGATAGTTTAAATAGACGGAGGGGTGACCACTGCTGCTGAAAAGGCTTCTCTGACTTTCCAGGTTTATATTCATCCATCAGGTTGGCACTCCATATAGTTTATTTCTCCAACTAAAGCCAATTATATCATAGGGATCCTGCAATTTGTCCAGAAACTTGTTTTTAATGTGGGGACTAGGACAAGTACACGGTCTCCAGGGTTGCAAGTTCTTATATTTGCAGACTGATTGTACACACAGCAGCAATTCTGCCTTGCATAACAAATGCATGTTCTGTCATGACTTTCAAAGGACTGAACTCCTGTTCCCAGTTTCCTTAGCAATGTCTAACGGACCTCTGGGGTGACAATCATGTACCCAGTTGAAAGGGGGAGAACTCAGTTGAAGACTTTGGGACTTCTGTAACAGAAAGCAAAAGATAGGTAATAGACAGTCCCAGTCTCTACCATGTTCATCTGCCTCTTTCTTTTAACTTTACTTTCGCCCCCTAGACAAAATGAGCACTTAACCCTTGCAGTGAGGGGTTAGCCCCACTGCAAGGGTTCATTTTTTTTAAATGCTGTAGTTCTTTAATGTTCAACATGTTCAGCAACACAAGGATTGCTAGAGATTCTGAAGGCTCAGGGAACCCTCTTTATGTCAAAGATTATAAAAGACTTTACACAAGTCTTGTATAACCTTTGACATAAAGAGGGTTCCTTGAGCCTTCAGAATCTCTTTAGCAATCCTTGTGTTGCTGAACATGTCAAGCAACTTTACCTCTATAATTTTGAAGGAAGAATTTGTTTTAAAGGTTCTGCCTCAGGATACTGCGTAACAGTCTATGACAACTAGCAAATACTGGTGCTCACTAGAAGACTTGATCACAAGCCCTATTAGATCCATTGTTATTCATGCAAAAGGGACTTCAATCACCAGCAAGAAGACCAAGGGGCTGCAGTAGTGTGGCATAGGAGCCAAGACAGTCAGGGCTGTTCCTTTTTATATCTGCATGTATCACTGGCTAAATTATGGGGCTCATTTATAACAGAGAGTGGATATTGCTATTTGCTCTCTGTTATGTGCCACAGCATTACGCACAACACAGTCCAT